TCTGTTTTTTTTTTCTCTCATTTGGATGAAGTAGGAGAGGTGATGTTGTGGAAGAACAAGGCAAATGGACATGCCTCCTTTCGTTGTTTTTTCTTTCTTCTATCTGCCTGGTGTGTGTGAAACACGAAGAGGAAGGCCAGAAGAAGTTGTCTCCGGTTTCTGTTCTATGGGTCCTTTTATAGGAAAAGTCAACTTGTTCCCCAAGTCAGCAGCAGTGTCTGGGTTAGGTCGGACCGGTCTGGGTTAGGTTGGACCAGTATGGGTTTAATGTGGGCTTTGACTTCTGTTGACCTGGGTTTTGGTCAGAATTGGATGGGCTTGACTATTGTTTGACTTGGATTTGGGCTTGACAGACACCTTTATTTATTACCAGCAATTGTAATTAGTTGAAGAGTAACACTTATTTGGTAATTGTTCTTGTAATGATAATTGTAATTGTAATTATATAGTAATATTTATTTAGTTCCAACTTAATTTAATAAGATTGTTATTTGTTGTTCTTTATTCGACTCTTCTTTTTATTGCTTCAAAATCAAAGGAAAAATCTAACCCATTCCAAAATCTTAAGAACCAATTCAAAGATCAACTCAAAACTGCTAAATTGCCTAAATCGTCGAATTAAAGCAAACCAACTCAACTCACTATCAATTGTATTGATCAAGATTTGTTATTGTTTAATCTCGTCACGTTATAGCAAACGCGATCATATCTCAAGCACTATCAATACGTTTTAGTTTGAAGATCAATTAAGATTTGCTATTGCAAACTTTAGACAAAACACTAAAATTATTTAATTAAATATATGTTCTAGCCCGGACAAAAAGTGGTGTCTACAGAATGTACGTACTTTTTTCATACAAAATTGCTCTTTCACTTTTTACGACATTGTCGTACTGATTCAAAAAGGATCTTCTTAAATCCTTCATGCACAATTTCTTTCTTTAAGCAATCCATTGCTGTATGAAGCTCTTCTGGAGTTCATATCAATGAAAACATATGAGATCATTATAAAATAATGTCTCGACTCTTTTCTTCCAAATAACTATAAAACTTAGCTAACACAGTCTTATGTAAACCATTACTTCATACCAAAAGGCCACAAGCAAACGGCACGTCATACACACAACATCACTTAACCAAACCATATTCATAAATCAAACTCATACTAAAACCACAATATCAAGCACATAAGCCTATATGTCATTACACAATCACACATGCCAAATGCAAATGCAAATGCTCTAATGCACTTTATTCGAATTTAATCACGTAGGCTTATTCGACCACTTTCTTTAGTAAATATTCACTTAGATGAATATACCATATTCATCCATTTTATCTCAATCCATACGAGGGATTGTTTTATCAATCGATATTGCTCTCGAGAACGTCACATGTTTGCTTCCAGCAAACTAATCCTTCAGGGAGTTTCGTATAAATATCATTATCAAGGGATCCATACAAATAGGCTATCACAATATCTACCAAATGCAAATTTCATTCTTTTTGAACTGCCAAACTATTCAAATAGCACAACATAGTTGCATCCATCACAAAAGAGTATGTCTCTTCATAATTAATGTCAAGTTTCTACCAGAAACCTCTCACGAGAAATTGTGTTATATCTTTTGCAATTTCCATACGCGTTTGCACAAAACCCATGTGTATCACGTTACTTTTACATCTCAAGTGTAAGGACTTATGGTCCAAAACTTATACCAAATAGCCTAATGCTTTCTTTTATATTGGCCAATATATATTCTTTTGTATGCATCAATAGACTTTTGCTTTTGATCCTCTTTGTATCTATCACGTTTAGTGCTGCAACATAATCAAAACCCTTGTCGACAATAAATACACTATGATTCGAACTATTTTCATACAAGTCATCTCTTCATTTTAAAACTTTCAGGTACCTACTATTCTTGTGGAACTATGAACTCAATTATATGACTTGACTCTTCTAGAGCTATTTTATCCTCGAGTTGGCCATCTTAATCTATAACTCCTTTCTCAAGGATTTTTATCCTTGGAACCGATTGGTCTACCACGCTTCATGCGCTCTTTTAGACTCATTAGATTGTCCAATATGGACATTATTTTGTATAGGAGCATTCACAATTTGGCATGTGACATAATCACTCCTTTTAGTGAGTAAAGGGCGTTTGACAATTGATACGTTTTTCTCTCTCCATGAATCACCATATGAACTTCGGGTTCATGTTTCTTCGTTTGAGGATCAAAATGAGATAATGATGATTCCAACTCACATTTATGCCCAACTATTTACTTTTTTCCCCTTTAACGTTCGTAAAGTAATTCATCAAAATGATGATATTAGCAAAAAGAGTCATGAACAAATCTCTCATTGCAATGGACACCATGTCCAACATAAGTTCTCATGGAACTCATAACGTGTTGTGGTGGAGCAATTTGGATGTATTCTGCACACCAAAATTTTCTAGCATTTGAAATGTTTGGTCCCTGACCAAAACCATTTGTATGAATGGGGGAACTTATGATAACTTGTTGGCTTCATGCAAATTAATGATATCATATGCTAACTATCATGCCTCACAAGAGATCGACAAGATTAGCTTTCTCTCATAAGAGAATTTATGTTTGATTGGATAATCATCAAAATATATCCATCATTCGACAACAAATTTTGCAAACATCAGGTTGCAGTTAGATAACAAACATATATGACGATATAGTTGATGCATCAATCAAAATCATAAAATTCATATATGATTTGCCTGATGAGTGTATTTTTATGCATACACTTATATAAAATCTCAACATATTCAATTATTTTCACAAGTGGGTATATTCTCCTCGAGAGCATGTATCACATAATCAATCCTTTGATTGATGAATTCTCTAAACTCTCACTTAATTCCCATATGATATCTCAATCATTTTTTCCGCATCTGTATCCGGGATGATATGACCGGACATGCCAAAACAAAAGTTATCCGATCTTGTAAACTTCTAGTTTAAACTTTCATATGTACTAATATACATGTACTACAAATTTTTGCATTTAAGTATATGTTCTCTTAGAACACATTTCTTATGCAATATCAATTATGATATTGTTTCTGCGAATATCTTCATAATTCGGTAATGCATCTTCAACTGACAATTTAGTTCCTTCACGACTCAAAACATTAGCTCTTCTGGAGCACTCACATACTCTTGTACTACATTTTGACCATTATGCACTTTCTGATTCGGTGAAATATTGTGAACACATATGCATAGTGATAAGAATATTGTCACACTATTTTAGCACCAATATATTATTGTTTAGTTACTTCAAGTAACAAAACACAATCTCTTCTATAGCCTTTTCTTACTTTCATACTATATGATATAATACATGTATTGACTTTCGCGAATATTCATTCTATACGAAAACAGACATAATAATAACAATAATAATAATAACATATATGTGTTTCATATCACATTCCGGCATATGAAGGTTACATGATCATGACTTTTGCTACATGAATTGTCATCCTCAATTATAATTATTCTACCTTTCACTTCTGGTAAAAAGATACATTTGTTGATTGTCGTTATCCAAACACCAAATTCTATTTATATAATGGTATGTCTCGATCCATTCACTTTTAAGAATGGTTTGTTTTCATTCACTTCCAGGAATGAAACAACACCCTTTGGATCAAATTATATAATATTTCTCATCACAAGTCCAATACACTTTTCACCTTTAACAAACAAGAAATAACTTATACTTTATAAAAACCCCTTCCATAATATTGCTACTGCAGGAGCACATGTAGATTTTCATTTTCCTCCATTAATTCTTGGACCAATAAAACACCTTTTCATACATCGGGTACAAGATCAATGATTTTTTTCCACCACAATGGTAACTCATATTCCTGACATTTTTTGTTACCAGATCCACTTCTTCCATTTGCCACATTTTTCTTCGTTTTTCCACTTCGGGGGAAAATGAGATCTTTAGACTTTCATTTCTTTATATGTCCAATGTAGCTATCGATAAGTCAACCCATAATGATTTGGATACTACAAAAGCAAATTTCATTATCTGGTAATGTCCAAGCACAAACTCTATGTTACAAGATAGATAGATAGATAGATAGATAGATAGATAGATAAAAGATAAGTTCATAAAATAATATGAACAAATAACAAGATCAAATAATCTCTCACAGACAATGAGATAGATAAACATACTAACAAGAAACGCCATGAAAATTTGCATACCTTGATCGTGTTGTGATCTTACTCAAGTATATTTGATGATGTAAAGAGACAATGACCAACCATGACTTTGACAGAGCTTCGTGCTGATAACGTGTTATAAAATAGCAAGGAAGAGCAATAGACACAAAAGTAAGAGTAGAGAGACAAGAAGAGAGGGGGAATAAAGCTTTCTTATTCATGTGTTCCTTAGTACAAGGAGATCATCTATTTATAGGCACATCACATAACTTCTATATTCTTACAATTAATATACATGAATGTGAGAATGAATGTGAAATAGAAATGTGGTGGGGGTTACATGTAACACCCAATTGTGCATCTAATGTGGTGGTCATCCACATAAATATTTACATAATAGTTTATGATTTTTCATGTGGCCCCGAAATTATTTGACACCATGCGGCGAATTATAAGAATGTTTCATCATTTGTTAGCTTTGAATCTCTAGGTTACCGTATATACTTATGAGGTTTTAGTAGCGAGATTAATGCATCTAGACTTCTAAACTAGTATTTTATTTAATCGATAATGAAATAGTTGAACCACGATTTAAATATCATATACCTCATTGATTTATCTGGTATACTTTGATTTTACAATGCTCGCTTAAAACAAGGTAAAATATCTCAGGTGCCACTTAAGTTTGAGAATTGGGGTACACATACCACTTAACTTTGAATATGACGTTGGGTATCACTGAACACTATTATATATGCACCCGGTACCACTTAAGTTTACAACTAAGTGCATTCCGTTAAAGTTGACAGAATATTCTTGGAATATTCCATTTTTAAATTTCATAATTGGTCATTCTACTTTTCTTATTGTAAAAAAAATCATTTGGACTTATAAAAAATCATTTTTTATTGTTTAGTTAGAATCCTATTTTGAATACTTGATACCAAACTAATTTTGAAAATTAGAATCAATTATCATTATAATTATTTTGAATTATCATTATGTGTTCTAATTATTGAATTATTCCATGAATGTTGTAACTACACAATGTTGTAGCTTTTATAGTCATATTTTCTTTTCTATATTTTTTATCCAATGTTGTAGCTTTTATAATTTATTTATTACTTGATTACTTTCCATCTCTTTTCGTTCTAAATTTTTTCAATTAATGGAATATGTTTAATTCTTTCTGATTGTTTTCCATTTATCCTTTTTTGATTTTGATGTATTGATGATCGATTAGGTTATATTTTAACTATTTCTAATTATACTTCTAAATGAATTAGAAGGTATAAATAGATATTCTAATTCGATTTTAAATATGTTTTTATAATATTCTAGTATATTTATTATTCTTCTTGATATTCGTTTATTATTTTTACTAATTTATCTATTTTATTAAAAAAATTGATTAGTCATTCTAGTAATAATATGTATAGAAGTTTTTTTAATTATTATATTAGATAAAATTTGTTGAAATATAGTTTTGGATGTTTTTGAAGGTTTTGGGTATCAAAAAGTAATTCAAAGTTTGGGTTGGATGGAAAAGTAGACGGATGCACATTTTAGCGACATTAATGGTACCTGACACCCTATACAAACTTAAATGGTATGTTTACCCAAATTTTCATACTTAAGTGACAGCCGAAGTATTTTACCTTTTAAAACATTATAGGAAGAATTAGTGCCGCTAAGACACAAGTAAAGATGAAAAAGTAGGACTTAGATTTGAGAAAATGTTTGGGTTGAACAAAGAATAGTGGACCCAAGCAATAATAAAGGGTCAATGTTATTGAATACCCCTGTCAATATAGACAACTCAATGAAGCCAATCTGTCCTGCGGGTAAAAGACCCCTCCTTCCCGGTGACGATGAAGGCCATTGAAGAGTTCATCTCTGTATCGACTAAGAAAGCTGCCGACCTCTGCCCTCTGACTTGCAATGACACAGCGGACATTCAAATGGGAGACAAGCAAAGCCAAGAACTTCCAAGGGACCCGGATCCTTCTCTGGGCGAGCCTCGACAGGGGGAAATCACCGCCTCTTGATTCCCTCTGGCCTCCCCTTCCTCTTTGGATTGTTTTCTCTGATTCTTATTTTTCTGTTTTGTTTTCGTTCCTTATTTATCCTTTATGGTCCCACAATCCCTTCCTCACTTTAAAATTTTGGCTTGGAACGTTTGTGGTGCAGGTGGGAAAACTTTCCTCCGAACCACGAAATTACTCATCCGCAACCACAATCCAGATTTTCTGATTCTAATTGAACCTCAGATTAGTGGAACTCGAGCTGACCAAATCTGTGAGAAGCTGGGTTTTCCAGAAGTCATTAGAGTCGAAGCGAATGGTCGTAAAGGTGGTATTTGGGTTGCCTGGCGTCCAGATGATTTCACGGTGCAGCTGATTGATGCGAGTCCTCAACACATTACGGTAAAAGTTTCCAATGATCAGCTGCAAGACTGGCTGCTAACAGGAGTCTATGGCAGCCCCCAATACTCCCACCACCGATCGCTCTGGGAACATCTCATCCTCACGAGTCGACGTCACTCCCTCCCTTGGGTCATTACTGGAGATTTCAACGCCTACCGATCGCCGGATGAGAAACTGGGTCCAATAAATCAAGCCTCCCTTCGTCGTTGTCAGCAATTCTCTTCGTGGATTAATGAAGCTAATCTTATTGATTTGGGGTTCTCTGGTCCCCAATACACGTGGTCACGAGGTGATTCAGTTCGAAGCCACAAAGCAAGCAGAATTGACAGATCATTTTGCAACACAAGTTGGAATGTGGTCTTCCCGGACTCTTCAGTCTTGCACTTACCCAAGCTTCACTCAGATCACTGCCCTATTCTTACCTCCAGCACGAGCCGTGCTTCTCTTAGTGGCAATAATAAGCTCTTCCAGTTCGAAGCTGCTTGGTTTATGAACAATCAGTTTGCTGATTTTTTTGCGGGTTCTTGGGATTGTGATGCCCCCCTTCAGCAAGCGCTTAAAGATCTCGTTCCTAAGCTGATGGATTGGAACAAATCAGTGTTTGGTATCATCAATCACCGCAAGAAGCGCCTCCTCGCTCGTATTCAAGGGGTTCAAGAGAGACTTGCCTGCTCTTTCGCCCCAAGCCTTATTAAACTTCAAGCTAAGCTAGAGAGGGAGTTGGATATTCTGCTCGAGCAAGAAGAGGTCATTTGGTTTCAACGGGCCAAGGAAAAGTGGGTTAAGCTCGGTGAACAAAATACATCATACTTTCATCAACAAGCCTCAAGACGGAGAAGGCGTAACAAAATCCAAGCTCTTAAAGACGCTCAAGGAAACTGGGTGGATGATCCTGGGAAACTTAGAGCCATGGTTCTGGATTTCTTTGCGGCGCTTTGTACCGAAGAAGATCATCACTACGAGGACAGAATGCCAAAGTTCTGGTTTCCCAGAATTACTAATGCTGACATGCTAAGTCTTCTTCGGCCCTTTTCTATTTCAGATATTCACAAAGCGGTTTTTGAAATGAAACCTCTCTCAGCTCCTGGACCTGATGGTTTCCAAGCCATTTTCTATCAAAAATTTTGGCCTACTGTTGGTAAAAGCTTAGCTAAAATGGCGATTGATTTTTTTGACACAGGTACAGTTCCGGAAGAGGTAATGGATTCCACCATGGTTCTTATCCCGAAAATCGACCATCCGGAAGTCCTGGCCCAGCTGCGTCCTATCTCCCTCAATAATGTTTGTTTAAAAGCTATTACCAAAGCTATTGTGAACAGGCTGAAACCGGTGATGAGCAAAATCATAGCGTCGACTCAAAGCAGTTTCATCTCCGGCAGACAAACAAACGACAATATTCTTATTCTGCAAGAGGTGTTGCACTCTTTAAGAAGGAAACAAGGAAAGAAGGGTGGGCTGGTCATCAAAATAGATCTTGAAAAAGCCTATGATAGACTGAGATGGGAGTTCATTCAAGATTCTCTGAAAGAGGTGGGCCTCCCAAGTTCCTGGATCAGCCGGATCATGTTTTGTGTTCAGCATAACAGGATCCAGATTAACTGGAATGGGCAGCTCACAGATGCTTTCACCCCAACTCGAGGATTTCGGCAGGGGGACCCGCTCTCCCCTTACTTGTTCGTGATCTGCATGGAGCGACTTTCCCACCGGATTGAGCAAGCTATTGCAGAGAAAACTTGGAAACCTATCTCTCTTTCCACAAATGGCCCTAAATTGTCTCACCTTTTCTTTGCTGATGATCTAGTGTTGTTTGCAGAAGCGGAAGGGAGCCAGATTGAGACTATTCGACAGTGCCTAGATGACTTTTGTCACAGCTCAGGGCAACGAATTAATCTGCTTAAATCAGCTATGTACGTGTCGCCCAATGTCCACTGGGACAAAGCCCAGAGACTTAGTTCACGTGCTGGGATCCCTCTTACTGCAGACCTGGGTAAATATTTAGGGCTCCACACGATTAATGGTCGTATAACCAAGAATAGGTACACGGAGCTCATTCTCAGGATCCAGAACAAGCTTGCATCTTGGAAGACCAAATAACTATCCTTGGCGGCCAGAATAACTTTGGTGAGATCTGTTGCTTCATCTATGGCTATATATCCCATGTTTTCGGAGTTACTCCCTGCAGGTATTTGCAAGGAAATGGATAAATGCAATAGAAGGTTTATCTGGGGGGAAGATGACAATAAAACCAAATTCCACTCCATAGCCTGGGAACACATGACTCGACCGAGAGATCAAGGTGGGGCTGGGGTTCGGCCTACTCGTCGGACCAACCTAGCCATGTTAGCCAAGGGAGGATGGAAGCTTGCTTCGAATGACAATACTCTTTGGGCTCAAGTGCTACGGGGAAAATATGGAAAGGAAAGGACTGGACCAAGTATCCTTAAGAGAATCAAGGGAAGTTCCTTCTCATGGCAAAGCTTTTATCATGCTGCTGATATTGTGCGAAAGAATTGTGCTATGAATGTGAGTAATGGTCGTAGAACAAAATTCTGGACTGATTGTTGGGTGTTGCAGGTCCCCCTAATCAACTTGGCGGTTGCGGAGATTCCTATGGAGATCAGGGAATGGAGGGTCATCGATCTTTGGGATCCTGATCAGGGGTGGAAAGTGACAGAGTTTGAACACCTCCTCCCTCAGGCAACGGTTGACTCAATCCGCTCAGTCCTAGTTGACCCTATGTCAACGGAGGATGATACCCTCATTTGGAAGGAGTCATCTAATGGCACCTTCACCACGAAATCGCCTTACAAATCGATGGACAATCCCGAGCAAGGTTACCCGGATGCCCTATGGAAAAAGATCTGGAGACTCAACACCCCTGAACGTGTTCGGACCTTCATTTGGATTGCGGCTAAGGGCTGTCTGGCAACGAATAGTGTCCGCAAATATCGACACCTCACGGAGGATGGTAAGTGCTCGCTCTGCAATGAGGTGGAGGAAACTAACCTGCACTGTTTGCGTGATTGCAGGATAGCTCGAACGGTTTGGAACAGACTGATTCCAAGCAACCGGAGACCCACGTTTTTCATAGATGACTATGATGAATGGCTGAGGAGCAACATCCGAGACGACTCAGAGGGTGCCTGGACTGGAGATTGGGGCAGCTTCTTCTCCTTAGTAGCCTGGTACCTGTGGAAGCCTAGGAACGAGCATATATTCCAAGGAAAAGTGATGACAACCTCGACTCTCTTCAATTATATCTCAATCAAGGGTAATGAGTGGGCTAAAACTTGGACAGCAGCAAGTCTCCAGCTGGATGTGACTCAAAAACCTCATCGTGCAGAAGAACTGATTGGCTGGAAGCCCCCAAGGGCTGGATGGATCAAGTTGAATACAGATGGAGCTGCCCAGGGGAACCATGGCCTCATTTCAGCAGGTGGCGCTCTTCGGGATGTCAATGGCGATTGGATTGCAGGGTTCTGCAGTAAAATCGGTACAGGTACGGCAATTGAAGCAGAACTTTGGGGAATCTATAAAGGTATTGATCTTGCTTGGAACAAAGAAATTAAATTCTTGATCATAGAGACTGACTCCCAACTAGCCTTAGATCTGCTGAACAAGAGAATGAACCCGACTCACCCGCTAGCTACTCTCCTGCGAGCCATCCGGAGGCTGATTGCGCAAGAGTGGGTGGTTCAGTTAGTTCACACGTACCGCGAAGGGAATAGAGTCGCGGACTGGCTCTCGAAGCACAGTCTCGTCTATCCCTTCAGGACGTTTGAACTGCTGAATCCCCCACCCGAATTACAGAAAATTTTACTGGAAGATCTGAGGGGGATAAGCTTCCTTAGACAGGTGGTCGTTTGATCTTTGCAACTACCTTCCTCGAAGATAACCTCTTGCCTTCTCCTGTAGTGGAAGCTTCTCTGGGCTTTTTGTGATTTGTTTGTGACTACTTCTCTGCTGTCTGTTTCGCTCGACCTTGTTGGCTGATGCCTTCGCTTTCTCCCCTGGTGATCGGCAGTCTTGTTGCCGGCACCTCCCTTCAATAAAAAAAAATGTATAATCAAATGGGCTTGATGAACTGGAGCCCAAGATCGGAAATACCAAGTGTTTTGTCTTTGCCGAGCCCAGCTTCCTGAGTTTCTAAACCCAGTGGACCAGAACAGATAGCAACTGCCGACAGGGGATGCTCTGTTTATTGAAATCAACAGCTCAAACACACACATTTCACAACAGAGATATGAACAATGAACTGACAGTACTGAAATCAAAATGATATCAATAATTTGTTTATGGAGTTTTCATTGTGCCTTTGTCTTTATTCGAGAACCAAGTTGGCCCTTACGTCAAATGGGATGCTAATAATCTTCTAGGGACACTCGAGTCAAAGCAAATTTTTTTTTTATCTCCAAATGGTCTCCTCCTAGTAAGCTCCTAGTGTTGTTCTGTTTAGTTAACAACACCGATGCTAATACTAGCTGTTATTGCCTACAATTTAAGAAAGATGATTTCAAAACCGAATTTCTTAACAGAAGACATTCATGGGTTAAGCAAGGAATGGTTCAGAAGTGTCTTTTGAGGAAATATCTTGGTGATGTTGCCTATATCCTTGCCATTAAGATCTATACAGATAGACCGTGGAGGTAAGTACCTACATAGAAAAAGTGCTGGAGAGATTCAACATGTATGAATTCAAGAGAGGGTACTTAATATTAGGCATGACATAGTTTTTTTTTGTTAAATACACTTGTATATCCAAAACTTTCACGGTTATGCCAATAATATTCAAATTTCTCGAAATACCACTTATATCCAATTCCTTCACATTTTTTAACGGTGTTTTTGGATATACAATTGTATTCAACCAAAAATATATTGGGAAATGGATAGATTTGGCAAAGAATAACTTTAAAACATGGATATAAGTGGTATTTCAGGAAATTTGGATATTATTGACACAACCGTGAAAGTTTTGGATATACAAGTGTATTAAACCTTTTTTTTATAAATCACAACAACAAATAAAGAGAGAGAAACATCGTATGAGTGAGCACATGTATGATTTTACCATAAAATCTATCATATGTACCATGATTGGTGTTGGGAACTTTGTAGTTTGTATTCATAGCCTATGCCAAACTTGAAAGGTGATCAAAATTTTACCTTATTTTAGTCAATCCAAAACGAAAGCAGATAACAACTAACAATATTCATAAATATATTAACAAAATACCAAAGGAAGAAGGAAATATGAAATGGGGAGATTGTTGAGTGAATTAAGGGAACATTTTGTTGCAAAAAGGGTGTTCAAATGGTTAGGGAGAGGAACTATGCCCAAATTAAAGTACTTTGAGGAACTACCCATGAAAGGGTAGAAGAGACATGAATAGAGAGAAAGAATTACAAAGAAGGGTCTTTTTGTGCTAAAAAACCCTTTTCCAAATCTCCCCCATTTCTTCGTTAACCATTTACTACTATCTCTAACCTCACTCAAGAACAAAAAACCTGCACAAAGTCACTCTACTTGAAGAGAGGATACCCACATAATAGTATCCAAATATCACATAATTAGTATCCAGATAATACATAAGAGTATTCATATTGAATAATAGTTGGTTGATTATGGATATTAGTTGGTATCTGCTATCTGGATACTAGTTTGTGATGTTTTGAATACTATTCTGTACTATCTAGATACTTAGCAGACTTGGATATTAGTTCATAAATTTTGGATATTAGTTAGTATATACTAACGAATCTTAAAGTTATCAGAATAACTAGGTTGTATTTATAGAGTTTTAAACATTTTTTCCTTTAAGTCTTCCTGACTCAACCTAGATCCCAATTCCAAACCATAATACATATGTTTTTTTGGCAAATATAATTTATTAGAAAAACCTTTCACACTCTTCAAATTAGTATCTGAACCTTTCGATTAATATTAGCCAAATATTAACTTCTTGTTATCAGTTTTGTTAGTAATATTGACTTGACAACATGATACTGACATGAAAGATACACGTGGATATCAACATTTTAAAATTTTAGTATTTTGACTAAGAAAATAATTGCAGACTTACTAACGATAACAGTCAAATAACTAATATTTTTATGCGTTACAAAAAATTTGACTATTTTTTTTATTTTGAAAAGTTTGACTAATAATTTGATTTTTTTTACAGATTTAGCTGATAAATTGAATTTATTTTTTATATAACTTTTTTTGGTAAATTTTTTATAGATAAATTTTTTATAAATAAAGGATTATCCTCTCAAGAAGAGGAAAAAAAGTGATATGTTTAGTTTCTTCGTTAAGAAGGATATTTCTTGTATTCCGTTTCTTCATAGGAAAGAATAATCTCTTGGCCCTTCTTCTAATTTCATCTATAATAAATAATTTCACAACCACTTTTTCTATACCAAAATATGCATTATCGGTTTTTCCCCTAAAGATAAATTGCATATTAATTCTGAGGGCCGCCGAATCAATTCGTAGAGGGAGATTAGATTTTTTATTTTCCCCCAAAATTGTGCCTTTCATGAATATTCGCTGCGTCGAAAGCCCTCTCCATTGAAAGTTTTTCATTTACGAACAGAAAAGAAAGAAAGAAAGAAAGAAAGAAAGAAAGAAGAAAACCATCTCTCTCTCTCTCTCTCTCTCTCTATTTCTCTCTCTCTAGAACGTTCCTTATTATTTCTCCGCCTCCCCGACTCAACGCTGCCCTCTCTCTCCTCCCTTCCAAGCTATCCGAAGTCTCTAACATGTCGTCTCAAGCCAGCCTCCTCCTCCAAAAACAGCTTAAAGGTAAAACTCCATGAAAAACTCTTCAATCTTCTTTGCGGTTCTCTTAACTTTTTGCCCTGGCTGGAAATTCCTGTGCCGAGAGCTTGTTCTCGAGCTGGATTTGGATCGGTAATCGATTGATCGTCCTCTGTTCGGTGCAGATCTTTGCAAGAACCCCGTGGATGGGTTCTCGGCGGGGCTGGTCGATGAGAACAACATATTCGAATGGAGTGTTACGATTATTGGGCCGCCGGATACGCTTTAGTATGTTTCTCTTTCATTAAAGTTTTGTGTATTTCGTTCCGTTTCCTGTGATTTGGAGGATTTGGGGGGCTTCTCCCCTAATTGATTGAGGGTGACTAGATTGAATTGGGAGTTTCTTTCTGTTTTTGGGATTCCTTTTTGGGGTTTGGCTCAATAAGGAATTGGTTCGTCTCTTTTACTGCCTATTTGTTTCTTATTGTGTGTTGTGGAATTAAGTTTTTGTTTTGATCATCTAGTAGTTAAATTCACTGCTGCCCTTCTTTTGGATCCTATAATTTGGTTGTATAGCTAACTAGCTCTTGAGGGTTCCCGTGGTTACCTATGCTTGCTTTCTTGAGATTGTTATTGCTGCTTGTTATAATTCTATGAAATTGTGGGGTTTTCTGCATTGGCAATTGAATATTTTCAGTACTACTGCCTTCTTTCAGTGCTGCTGATCAAGATTGTTTGTGTGGCACACTGAATATTGTGTTTGGTTATTACTTGCTTACTTGATGTGCTACCTGATGACTTTTGCTTTCATGGATCCATCGTGTTTTAACATATTGCTTCTGTTGCAGTGAAGGGGGATTCTTTAATGCCATCATGAGCTTCCCTTCCAATTACCCAAACAGCCCTCCAACAGTGAAGTTCACTTCAGAACTATGGCATCCTAATGGTTGGTACTTGTTATATGTATATCGCTAGCTTTTGCGAGTCTGTAACGTGTCCAGTAAAGTTCACCTGGTTGCATAAATGACAGTTTATACCGATGGGCGAGTGTGCATATCGATTCTTCATCCGCCTGGTGATGATCCCAACGGTTATGAGCTTGCAAGTGAACGTTGGATGCCTGTTCATACGGTACGCAAAGTTGCTTTTGCAATTACATATATCTTTTTGCTCCGGTTTTGAGAAGGACTTCTATGAAAAGCATGTACAGATAGTAAGAAGTAAGCTGAGTAGAGAAGACATAGGAAACCCCCTGTCCATTGTGGGGGAAGTTCATTGTGCAGGGGTGTGTTTGTAGAAGAAAGGGAATTCATAGACACAGGAAAGGTAAAAGCTTAGATTGCCATGTCTTGGTTTGTAGATAAATATAGTGGCCAGCAGTGAAGCTGAAAGTATGTTAGTGTTCCTTCTTTGTAATGAAGAGGAGAGTATTGGCGTCCATCCTTAATGTGTGCGCGTTCAAATAGGTGTTCTAACTGTTATATTTGGACTGATGTTTTCCCTTTTTTCCTATGAGGTCTGGGCACTTCCATGTTTTTTTACCGACTCTGTTTTTGCTGCTTGATTGCTGATGAATTCCTGTTGTTTTCTGTTAGGTTGAAAGTATTGTGTTGAGTATTATCTCAATGCTGTCAAGTCCTAACGATGAGTCTCCTGCCAATGTTGAAGCAGCAGTAAGTCATACTTATTCATGATGAAGCTTGTCTTGTCTTGCTATTTCTTGACATTATGATATGAATGCTCTACCTTCAAATCGAGATTTTTGTGGAGTTCACAACGCTTTAGGCAAATGATATATAATTATGTTTCGGTGCCGTTTTTCTCTTTTATGTCATGTTTCATATCATGGATATTAAGATGCATAGACAACCTTGGAAACTTTTGTATAGTTCTACTTGGTCATATCGTTAGTCAGTCACAGTTCCTCTGCGTATGGCGGCGTAGGATATGCACATGTGCTTACTGTCTGTGTTTGTTCTTGCCTGCAAATGTTATCAGCTTCTAGATCCCTGGACATGGTATCCCTCGGAGTGTAATAGCTTCTTTGCTGCACTGTATGGTTTAACGCTGTTAGAAGTGCTATAGTGGCAGCACTAAGATAGCAGCAGTTTGTAGCTTTTACTTGTTAAGAATTGGGGATGATTGCACAGATGTGAATCCTGAACTGGTGACCTCATTTTATGCAGAAAGAGTGGAGGGAGACGAGAGACGAATTCAAGAAGAAAGTGAGCCGATGCGTTAGGAAGTCACAGGAAATCTTGTGATCTTTCGTCCAGTGAAGAAGAGCTTCTCTGCTATGTGTACCAAGAAGAAGAAAAAAGAAAAAAAATCAGTCTTAATTCATTTTGGGTTTGGTGGTTGGGTGGGGCTGGGGTGGTTTGATAAGTGGTCAGGGGGGAAACTGGACCATATGGTTTGTCTATTTTGTTAATCCTTTGTAGAATTCCACTCAGATTCTCGGCTCCCCTTCAATCTTTCTGTGTTCCTGTTTTCGCTTGTTATGTCTCGGTTTTTGCAATGGGGATCAGAGTGGCGTTTTACAAACTCGAAAGAAGTCAACAATGGTCGATGCCTCCTTTTGGATACAGATTGATTGATTTGGTTCTGTATGTGTCTAATCATTGAACTGGCCATTAATGCTATTTTGGCTTGCTAGGAGAAGAGAAGTGCAAGTGAACAGAGTTCTTCAAGGAACTGGAATTGGGAGCATAATAATACGCATGTAGTTAACGACAAATTTCTGCAGGAGAAAGGTACACAAGTAGGAACACTTGCAGAACTCTGAACTTTTGTCGTTCTTTTCACTGTAGCATCATTTCGTCTGTTTGGCGACGTAGCTCCCCATTCTGACCACGTTACCGTCGATATCACGCACGTAACCAACTCTCTGCGCCCACTCCTTGTCCTCCGGCGGGCTAATCGCCGTAGCTCCGTTCTCCACCGCTCTCTGCCACCATCCCAACCGAAGATATAAAAAAGCATCTCACTTAACAAAACTGACCATACAGGAAACACAGCCCTGGGGGAATTACCTTGTATGCAGCATCGATATCAGCATAGGCAAAGCAGACCTCCATCGAGGGTCGCTCGTCGCCGGATTTTGGGGTCCGGACCTGGCCGGTTCTGTCGTCGGTCTCGTGCTGCTGGACCGGAGTGAACGCGATTGTCGTCTGGCCGCTCTCCAGCTCTCCCCATCTGGCCTCGCCTCACAACATCAATGAATCAATTAACTTAGATAACTAATTAACAAAAATCTGTGAGAAGATCTCTTCCACATGCATCAATGATCAAACTCAAGTTGTTGTCGGTTGCTAGTGCGACATGCATCCCTATCAAACGTGGCGCACCGCATGCACACACAAAAAAAGGCAATAAGACAAGATTTCGTTTGCTGATTCCATCGGTGGTGGATGACGAAAGCAATTAAGCAAGCAATCAATCAGATGGGCAAAACCTGTGAGAATCGTCGAGGCGGCGAACATGGTAACCGAAAGCGTTGGCGTAGAAATCTACGGATTTGGCTACGTCCTTGACGTACACCACCGTGTACGCAAATGCTGGGCGGAGAGCCGACGACGCCATTGATATCCTTCGATTTTCTTTCCACCCCTGTTTTGTGCCTGATCTGTTTCTGTTGCTTCTGGTTTCTGGGCGTTAAATCGTTCTTTTTTTTTTTATACTTTTTCTTGATTCACAAAGAACAGTTCTTAGATCAGGAACCGGCAATGTTATAGCGAGCGTGTCCAATTGAGATGGATTATTTCACACGTGGCGATCTCCGAGTTACACGTGGGCTTCATGCACGTCTACAAGAGTGCCCATTTTCTCAGTCTTGTTGCTGTACTTTTTTTTTATTTTTCATTTATAACCTAGTAAACCTCAGTCTTACGTGCGGTTTGAGCGACAACGGAACCTACTAAACTACTGGGATACATGCATACTAATCGGGGCTTTCTGCTACCAACATTGGAGAAGCTTCACCTGCGATACCAAGGGTGCCGCCGGGAACGCTCAAGTGGCGCCATCGGGAATCAAACTCAGGACCTCCCGCATCCAGAGCTCAATTGATCCAGTGGTTTCACCATTAGGCAATGTTACCTTGGGCTTGTTGCTATACTTCGGGTTCCAAAATTTTGGGGGGTTTGGATGGAGTATTTGTAGGAATTATTTACTTATTTGGAAGCGTTTTACTGAAATGAGTTAATCTATATGTTATTTTGAAATAATTCGTTTTACCACTCTGCTTTTATCAATTACCATATGTCAAATACCACATTTGCTTGGTTCAATCAAACGAGATACTTTATTTAAATTACCACTGAAAGAACACTTGAACACTAAATGAATTATTTGACTCCGCAAATATCACATCAACAATTAACCCATCCAAACAACATAATTTTTTTTGATAATTATGGGGTTCCAAAATTCAATCTGTACATCACACAAGAACTAGTAGACCCTAGGGGTAGTCCTAGTCCAACTGACTTATCTGTTTATCCACGCATTCTTAGTACTTATTACTTATTAGAGTTTCTTGGACTAGGACTAGGGGTGTCGCATTCGATCAGTTCGGATAAAATTGAGTCAAAATCAAATTAAATCAGCGATTGATTTCGAACCAATATATAATTTGGTTCAGTAAAGTCGAAATGATATGTGCGAACTATATATCGGTTCGGAATTGAAAAACCCGACCAATCGATTTTGTGTATGGGCTGATGGGTCGGGTGGTAGCCTGGGCCAGGGTGTGAGTTGTGAGTGGGCCACTGCTGGTCTTGTGGCTGAGCCTGGGTGTGAGATAGTGTCTGGGCTGGAGCGGATGAAGCCCATGGAGTGCAGAGGTGGGTTGGGTGCTGCGGCCTGTCAGTCATCCTTCATCACTACCAAATTGCACCAAAACTAAGCAGTAAACACTAATACATATGTAATTCATTTGTGTACTGTTTTTATTTTTATGGTATTTTTTGTAATCTAATCATAATGTGCTGATCATCCATGCAAGTAGATGGAACCCATTCTCATGTTTATAATCTATTCATCATCTGATGCATCATTTAAAAATTTAAAGTTGGAACTATTTTAATCGATGCACTCATGCACCATTGATCATACATAACAAAAATCCAAGTAAAGAGAGAAATTAAAACTCCATTCTAATGCATAAATCAACCAAATTCCAAACTCCACAGATCAAAGCAAACCCTAGTCTAAATTCTAAAACATACATCACCTCTACAAATCAAAGGTCATAATCTAAATTATAGACCATACATCACTGGAAGTATGAGCTCATAATCTAAATTATATATCATACATCACTTAGAAACCAGCACAAAACCACCACTAGTAGCATTGGAAGATGAAGTAAATGAGAAAAGGCTATCTCTAATGCCTACTAAACTCATCAAGTTTCCAAATCCTTGCACTATTGCTCATCACTGCATACATCACAAAAACTTTCTCAAACTTATCAGCAACTTGCAATATTAAAAAAATGTCAAGTTCCACCTCGTGGAAACAACAAGACAACTTGTTTAAAATGTGAGCTACACATCTCATGCGAAGGAATGCATTGTTACATATATTAGTTCCTCGAGAATTGAACACTTTCTTCAGATTTGTCACTAATATATCATTAGAGTTAGCATTATCTATCACAATGGTTAACACCTTATCAATCCCCCAACTATCCAAACAAATGATATATAAATCATTAAGGACTCGTTTGATTTTGATGATAGTTAAATTGATACGTTGTCTTCAATAAATACATAATAATATATATGTATATAAGAAAATTGGGGGACAATGACACAAATATTGTTTTTTTTTTAATTTACCACTAATATGGCCAATTAAAAAGTATTGACACAGATATTGTGTTTTGGAGAAAAGAATAGGCGAGGCTACCTGAGACTCAGGCGCTGCCGCTTTAGCTTGTTTTTTGGACCGTTTTATTTAGTTGACAGCGGCGGCGCCCAAGACTCAGGCGGCACCGCCTGAGACCTAGGCGAGTAGGTGGGAAATCATCTCAGGCGCCACCGCTGGCTTATTGCTGGCCACCCACCTTATAAAACCCAGACAATTTCGTTTCAGATTCACACCACAAAAAAAATCGTCCAAAATAGAGGAGAGAGCTCTGGTTGCTGCTGCAAAAATGGCTAATAGGTAAGAGACACATTTATTTTTGTAATTATATTATTCAAATGCTATTATGATTGTGTTTAGTTTTAATTAGTGAGTTTGTTTTTTTTAGTGATTTTAGAAGATTTGAACTAGTTGTTCGGTGGAAAGCGGAGAAAGTAGAGTATAATTTGGGGGTCAAATTCGTTGGTGGTAGTAGTTTTCAGTTGACGGTTCCATCCAGGGTCACATATCACAAACTTTGTGAGAATCTAATTCCGAGAATACGGCGCAGAGACGAAGCAGTAAAAGATAGCGATGTGATCACAGGTTTCACTTACCGTCTTCCAGAATGGCAGAATGGTGTTTTATTTCATTATGCGACACCTATTGTGGATGATGATAGCTTGAATGTGCTTTGGAATTTTATGGCACAAAATCCTTATTGTTTGGGTGCTGAGATACATGTTGAGCTCAGTGAGGATCAGGGTGGAGAGAAAGAAGATGATACATGGAGCGCGCCATCCGATCATGACTATGATGACGGTGATGAGGAGGAGGAGGAGGAGGAGGAGGAAGGAGAGCAGCTAAATTATCCTCCATATTTTTACTTGCAGTGTAATGAAGAGGACGAAGAATTATCACTTGCTGATTCATATGGTGTAATTCCAATGCCTATTGTTGATAATTTTGAAGGAGAATTCTACAAGGGGCAGACATTTCACTCGAAACAAGCTGTACAGATGGCGATTAAACACCACGCACTACAATGCAACTTTCAATATGGCGTGGTGGAGTCGTCACCTTCAATCTGGAAGGTCAGATGCTTGAGGCACAAGGATGAAAATTGTCCTTGGATGGTGCGGTTTGGATGTCGAGATGTTGGGGGCGAATGGACTGTGAGAAAGGTTGAGTTGGTGCATTCTTGTAGCAGTACGACTCAACCGACGGATCATCGCCATCTTGATGTCGACATGATATCCGAGGCCGTCAAACATTTGGTACGTGCCCAACCAAATCTGAGTGTTCTAACTGTTCAGGCCGAGTTGAAAGATAAGTTTAATATGCAAGTTACTTACAAGAAGGCTTGGTATGGGAAACAAAGAGCATTGGAGAAGTTGCATGGAAATTGGGAAGAATCCTACGATTTTTTGCAAACATTCTTGCGGGTGGTCAAGAGAAAAATGCCAACATCCGTGATTGATTGGGTAAGGGTTCCTTCGACTCAACCAGGTCATTCAATATTTCAGCGAGTATTCTGGGCTTATGGACCTTGTATAGATGGATTCAAGAATTGTCCAGGCGTCATGGTTGTTGATGGAACATTTCTTACTGGGAAGTATAAAGGAGTGCTACTCATGGCGAGCTCATTTGATGGCCGGAAAAAGATTTTTCCAATTGCATTTGCCACAGTGGAGAGCGAGAATACCGAGAGTTGGCCATGGTTCATGAGGAACGTTCAGGGTTTGACTGATCGAAATGATGTGGGCATCAAATCAGATAGACATGCAGGACTCTATGAAGCCATGAATAACATCGGAATAGGTTGGGAGTGGAGGTGGTGCATGCGACACTATGCAAGCAATTTGCAAAGGAAGACTAAAAGCAAAATTATGTATAATCAACTATTTCGAGTCGGTAAGCTTTCTTCATTTAATTTTGTTATTTGTTTTCATGTAATTTTGTCACGAATTTATCTAACCCGTGTGGTGGTTTATTTTGTTAGCCGGAGAAAAACGGTTGGAGAAGTTTGATCGTCAAGTTGAGCAATTTAAGAAGGTGGCTACTGATAGAAATATTTCATGTGATAAGTGGGTGGATCAACATCAGATTCGTTGGAGTTTAGCACATGATAACTACAATGGTGGGGGTCGTTGGTCTATCCTGACATCCAACATGGCAGAAAGCGTCAATGGTATTTTCAAAGGTATTCGTGCACTTCCTATAGCTTCTCTTGTGCAACATACCTATTGGCGATTGGTGGAGAAATTCGATAAGTACAGGTTGGAGACAGGAGCAGAAATTAGAAATGGCGGTTCACAGTACTCCACCAATTGCGAAGAGCTGATGAAGCCGTGGTCACAAAAGGCAATTGGACATTCTGTGACAGCTCTTGATCGACGTCAAGGCATCTATGTAGTTCAGACTCCTCCCAACAATTTCAACGTGACGGGGTCAAACACACTCACAGTTCACTTTGACGATCAAAACCGGGCGGGATTTTGCACTTGTGGTAAATTTCAAGGAAATAAAATTCCTTGCTATCATGTCATTGCAGCTTGCAACCGAATGAGGGCTAATGCGTATAGGTTTGTCAACGATGTCTACAAGCTGGAAACAGTGATGGCTTGTTATGGGGACAAGTTTCGCACCTCTTGGTGAACCTAAGGGTTGGAAGAAGCATAATGGTCATATTCTCCATACTAATGTGCACATGATTAGGAAGCCGGGGAGGCCACGAGTTACAAGGATTCACAACGAGATGGACTGGCCAAGGGAGGGTGCATCACACCAAGTGTGTAGCAACTGTAACCAAGCGGGACATAATGATAACAATCCAAAAATAAGGAAGTACATAATAATAATAATAATAGTCTCACTGACGACCACCACGACGACCACCACGACGACCACCATGCTCCACCGCTAGATGGCCGCCAGTACCACACCTCGCAGGCACCCTGTTACGTAGAGGTCTACCATCATACTCCTGGGGCTCATCTTCCTCAACACCACCATCCTGATCCTGTGTACCGAACATATCATCCTGCTGAGACTGAAGATGCTCCTCAGGCTGACCGCCACCATGCTGCTGAGACTGAACATGCTGCTCATAATTCCACATCGTCTCCCGAAACGCCTCATGCTCATCTAGGTTTCCCCGCAGGTCGGGAGACGAGGCTTCTATAGTATCACCACCTGAGGCCATGTTTCCCATCGTAGCATGCTGCGGTGTATGGAAGCTATCCTCTGGCTGATAGAAGCTCGAAGACGGATCTGACTGAAACTGCTACCGTCGCGGCGACTGAAAGCTCGAGGAAGGATCTGACTGAAACTGCGACTGAAGCAGATTAAACTGGAAGCTCCTCGATGTAGGCCGGATGGGCTGTGCTCGCTGTCAATCTGAAACCCGAAATGGGTTAGGTGCATCACGATGCTCACGTCGCTGTCTACGTGGCCTATGCTCCTGTCTGAACTGTGGCTCTGGGACGACCCAGCCCGGTGTCGGATCAGTACGCTCTGGCCAGGCAGTCATGACGGGCTCCTCATAATGGGGCTGTACAGGTACTGTGAGATCAGGGTATCTACGCTACTCAAACCCTAGAGTAGCAACCCCGGATGCCATAAGGTTGGCCAAGTCCTCACACTGGTCGGGGGTCAGCCCTCCAGCCCGTACACCGTCACGCAAACTCACCTCAGCATGCTCGATAGTGTCGTACTAAAAAACACCAACAAAATGTCAGATATTTCACACAGTTGACAACAAATTAAGCAAACAAATCAAATAACTAACCAATGCCACCGCTGCAGCTCCTCTCCGTGTGCCGGAACGTCTGGTGACATCTCTATACCACTCCATATGCTCCGAGTGGTAGGCCAACTGCTGCCCAAGCGATGGCCCACGAGTAGCCTGGCGAAGAAAAAACCTAACCTCAACCTCAGGATGTGGCGGATGAGGCTCATGCTGCCTCATGCCAAACTGCTGGAGCACGCGGTCTGGATGATGCCACATCACCGATGAAAAGCAGATAAGTGGCACTACTGCTCGAAATGTCTCAGACTGTATCACACTACCTCTGAGATGAAGTGCTCTCTCAAGGTAAGGTTGCCACTACATAAAAAAAATTAACGTTATTATCCCTAAATCTAAAAAAAATAAAACAAATGAAAACTATTCTATAAAATGGAATGTTATATACTAACCACCACGGTGTCCATCGCGTCAAACCACAACTTGTACTAGAATAGCTGGTCACCATACTGACGACTGTTGGCCGAAAGCCATCGAAGACCACGTGGGGATGCATCCTCGGTGGTCTGTGCCCTCGTCTCTAAATCTCGAGGTGCCAGATGTGGGAATCGCTACCACGCCCAGAACTGCAGTAGGGCGACCCATCTACCAAGGTCACCGCTAAGAGAAGTGTCGGTATGCGTAATGTGCAAAGTCGACCTACCCATCTCACGGTACAGGTAGGATAAACAGCAGCTCCCCAGGCGAACCGTCCAGCTCTCTGCTAATCCTCAATCAGAAGTAGGTACTGTAGGTGCACCGTACCTCCAGACCGATCCGGGAAAAGTACACCTCCAATCAGAGATAGAGCATAAGCTCGTGCAAACTGCTCTATAACCTCCTGTGATGAATTTTCCGGCAGATGATTGAATTCAACCCTCAGCCAAACAATCATAACAACAGCGACACCGCCTACAAGATCAGCCGGAACCCGTCCTAACAGTCTCAAACAGATCGCCGACCACTCCTCATCCGGTATATCAACTACGATGGCATCACCGTCGATCGCCAGACCGGACAATGTAACAACGTCCTCTAACGTGATCGTGATCTCACCACACGGTAGATGGAAGGTCGACGTCTCGGGTCGCCACCGCTCTACGAGCGCAGTAATCAAACTCGCATCGGGGTTCATAGGGACTAGGGGCACGACACTTAACAAGCCTGCCTCTTCGAGATATGGCCGATAAAGCTCATGGTAAGGTACTAAAATGGTCGTACCTCGAACATGGTAAGATCGATCACCAGCCTATAGTCCACAAAACTTATATTAATTCATTTTCATTCGTAATAATTCTAATTTCACCTAATAAATTCTAATCTGTCTTATCTAATATAAAATTATACTAATTTCAAATTATACTAATTTCACCTAACAGTTCAGTACACCAACTAAAATAATCTAATTAACTTTACATGAATAATTATCAAATACTTACCTCATTTGTCCGAACAGAGTCGATACGATGTTGGCCATGTCCCCAAAGAAGTGTCGGATCGACCGGACTTGGATCAATTGTCGTCGGCGGTAATCTCATCGAATAAGGATCCATAAGCCTAGGAACTGCAAAAACAAAGCAACAAAACATTAAAAAAACACAAAACTTTAAAAAAAAAAATCAAGCCGCCGACGAGAGTCTCACAGCGCAAACGGCCGCCGACTCCACCACGACCTCGCCGGCCTCTCCCCCTGCCTCTGCCGGCGGCGACTGGTTCTTCGTCGGAGGACATCTCGGGCGGTGGTGCTTCTGTCAGCAGCGACGACGCTTCAGTCTCCGGCGGCGGCGCTCCACTCGGCAGCGGCGACGGCGCCTCAGTCCTGGGCGGTAGCGCTTGCGGCGGGCGGCTGGTAGGGCTTCTCTCTGGTTCGGGGGTGGGGGAGGGGGGGGGGGGGGTGTGTGGTGTGGAGGAGTGAAGAAGAGGAAGGAAGAAGAAGAGGAGATAAGGTGGGAGGGGCCCGAGGTTCGGCAATTTTAAAAAAAGAAGGGTGGGGCGCGGCCGCTGGAGACTCGGGCGCCAGCGCCTAGGATTGGGTCAAAAAATAAAACTGAGGCGGAGCCGCTTGAGACTGGGACGCCAGCGCCCAGAACTGGGTAAAACAGCAGCCCCGCCTGAGTCTCTGGTGGTCCCGCCCCAAACCTTACTAAAAAACACAATATTTGTGTCAATTCTTTTTAATCCGCAATATTTGTGGCAATTAAAAAAACACAATATTTGTGCCATTATCCTGAAAATTGGTGTATTGTAGTTTATGTGATAATCATTGTAGTATTTAAATAAGTATATTACTTTTTGGGTGAAACATCACTTTTACCCTTTACTTTTAATATTAAAAAGCAACACACATGAAAAGATGGAACATAGTTGGAAGGAAAAAAAATCCCAACAATCTCAATCAAACAATCTCACAAAATTTTTGAGATTTGGTCGTTTGGTTTTGGTGATAGTTAAATAGATGGATTGTCATCAATGCATGCATAATAACATACATGTATATATGAAAATTGGTGTATTGTAGATTACATCGTTTGGTTTTTGTGATAGTTATTGTGTTATTTAAATAAGTTATATTACTTTTTGCGTGAAATTTCACTTTCACCCTTTGATTGTAATATACAAAGGCAAGACACATAAAAAGGTAGGGACATAGTTGGAAGAAAAAAACACACAACAATCTCAACCAAATAATCTCAACAATCTCACCGAAAACTTGATATTTAACTATCACTCATTTTGAGTGATAGTTTGTGTCAAATCAAGCAAACAATGCATGTATTGTTTGTGCAGAAAATTCAAAAAAACAATGCATTGTGAACAATACATGTATTGTAACTATCTCAACCAAACAATCACCAAAACCAAACGACCCCTAACTACCACTCATTTTGAGTGATAGTTGTGTCACAACAAGCAAACAATGCATGTATTGTTTGTGTAGGAAATTTAAAAAAAAAGTGTATTGTGGAGAATGTATGCATTGTAATTATCACAACCAAACTATCACCAAAACCAAGCGATCCCTAAATTTGATAAGGAAAAAAATTATTCATGGTGTTGATTAACAAGACCCGAGAACATTTTCAAGTAGAGGTGACAATTAGGATCCAAATCCATGAATCCAATCCAATCCATCCACCAAATTATCAACTTAATCCAATCCATTTAAATCCAATCCATTTGATCCAAATCAAATTGGATTGGTGGATTCATGGATCAATCCATGGATCCAAATGGCAAATTACGATTTGGTACCTATATATTTTATATTTTACATTTTGGTACCTAAAATTTATATTTTTATACGAAAAATATCATTGTAAAATTACATTTTGGTACCTAAAATTTTTCATTATGACATTTTAGTACCGAAACTTTTCAATTTTACATTTTGGTCCAAGCTTTGGATGTCATTTGGATTCGTGGATCAATCCACCAATCCATTTGATCCAATCCATGAATCCACCAATCCATTGGATCCAATCCATTTGATCCATGGATCCACCAATCCAATCCATGAATCCACGAATCCGATCCAATTGCCACCTCTATTTTCAAGTGATTTTGTTTACTCATGTAAAGAAGGGTAAATACAATATATTAACCACAACTATTAAGCATCGGCTCCTCATAGCCACAATTATCGAAATACAAATTATTAGCCATAACTATTGTTGCAGATAACAATATGACTAACAACCCTGTTACCGTTAACCATGTTACTAATAGAGTTCCACGTCAGCGGCCACGTCGCCTTATGTGGCGGCTTAACCCTATTAACAGAACTCTTCATCTCATTTTCATGTTGACAAGTGACGGCTTTTGTTTTTTTTTTTTTTTTTTTACTTTTGTTAGTGTTTAAACGGGTAGTTTGGGTACCCGTTATCCGTCCCGTACAGATAATTGGTACCCGTTAACCCGTATAATTTCAGAAATGGAATGAAATTTTCTTCTCCAAATAAAAATGGATACCCATTTCAAATGAGAAGTACCCAATCCCATCCAATTGTCCATGAGAGTTACTATTCGTCGCCCTAAATTTTTAAATTTTGTCGCCCTAAACCATACAACTTTACAAAACAACCCTTCATTTAATTTTATGGTTCAACCACCTAGAATTAATGCTCCAACCATCTAACCCAACCCATTTAACTCTTTCTTCCAACACAAAACAGAAATATCAAACCAAAAATTAAAACCAAACCACACAACACAAAATCCAACTACAATCTTCTACATTGATAAATTTTCGCCGGATTCCGGCGAGTTTGCCGGAGGTAGAGAAGTAGTCGGTCTCGATCGTCATAACATGCAGGGACTCGGACTAAAGGTAAGATTTCGTTTGCAATTTTTTTTTCTTCTAAAAAACAAGTCGAGCATGTTGAAAATCTGCCTCGACCGGTGGTCAAGCATGTTGAAACCCTGCGTCAGCCATGGAACGGACGCGTTGTCAACCTGCCCGTTCCATCCTCCAGGAATGCTCGCAACATGCTCGTCCTCCTGTCTAGGCATGTTTTCAACATGCTCGTTCTCCTGTCTTGGCATGTTTTCAACATGCTCGACCCACGGTTCTTTCTTGTTTTTAACATGCCTGTCCCTCGGTCTGGTCTAGTTTTGAACATGCTCGAGTTAATTTTGTGATGTCATGGATCTTTTCTAATGAAAATTCAAATAAATTATAATATTTATGTTCATTAAGTTTCGTTGTTAATTGTGTTTATTAGGAAGGAGGATAAAAATCTTGTGCCGCCATCATTTACTAACAAGGAAACTATTATGGATGATTCGGTAAGTAGTTATTTTTTATAATTTAATTATCGTAACATAATTGTTGCACAACTAAATGTTTTTACCTTGTATTTCTTGTAGGGTGGATCCGGAGTTAATGAGGGTGACAATGTTGATTGCACATCATTGTTTCTAAGTGATGTTTATGATACCCATGATCAAGCTTGTAAAGAGGCAAAGGAGATTGCCATGAGTAATAGTTTTTCCTTGATAGTGGCATCAGTCAAGAGAAACGTTGGAGAAGGAAATCCGCGGATCTATATGGATTGCAACCATGGTAGTAGGAGCAACTCATATACGTCTGATCCTGCAAAGACAACACGGAGCAAATCTACAACAAGCAAGTTAGGTTGTCGTTTCCGAGTGATGGTGCAATCCGTAAAAATAGATAGCAATTGTAAGTGGAGAATTCATGGGATTAAGTCGAGGGGATTTCACATTGATTGGTGTTAGTCCGGTGAAGAAGAACTTCAACATTGGGTTCGCATTGATTTACTGGGGCTCATTGGGTCCGAATAGTTCTCGACAATGTCGATGGGGTGACACCAATGCCATATTTTAGTCCACAATGGACTCATTTTCGGAATATGAGCACAATTCCGCATTGGGATGAGTTATACCAACATGAGCAGGAATTGTATGCCATCCTTGGAGGACATTATCCACCCACTGACGATGAAGAGAATGATTAAACATTGTTGCCTTAGATTGATTATGTTATTGATGTGTCTAGTGTGTGTTTATGTTCAAAGTTGTGTGGATTTAGGTGCACTTATCAAGGATTTACATTTTGTGTTAAAATGTATGTGGTTTTAGGTGGAATTAATCAATGATTTTGTGTTCAAATTTATGTGGATTTAGTTGAAATTAATCAATTGTGTTCACAATTATTGTTGCTGAAAAAATAGACTAGGCGGGTTGAAAACCTGCCTGCACCACGGAACAAACATTTCACCTACCCATCTTCACCGTGGGTTGAGCATGTTGCACACCCACCTGACGGATGGTGCAGGAATATACTCTTCCAGCACAGGCTGTGGACAAAGCATGTTGTGAACCCGCCTTCCTGGAGGTGAGGGCATATATCCTACCCGCCCTCCCGGAGGTCGAGCCATATTTTCTACCCTTCTGACCGCTGGTTGAGCCATATTCCCTACCCGCCCGATGATGCAAGTAATTTTGTGTGATCATTAAAAATTGTTGTTTGTTGTGTTTTTGTTAGATATATAAGTAGTGGTTAAAAATTTTAATTAGTATATAAAAACTCAAACATAACACATCCAAATGTACCTTAAGAAATATTCAACATCAATCTTAAGAAATATCCAACATCAAAACATAAAATATCCAACATCCAAATGTACCTTAACAAATATCCAACATCAACCTTAACAAATATCCAACATCAAAACATAAAATATCCAGATTGATCAACTGACCGCGAGTCCCCCAAAGTTGATCAATCCCTGCTCCAAAGATGACCTTATAGGTCCCAACAGCAGGTCAACTGACATCAAATGGTAGAATAACAAGTTCAGGAATCACCTGTTAGTAGCCAAACTGATGGAGGACACGTGAGGGATCGTATGTCTCAGCAACATCATAGACACGTATCACACCCCGATACAAAGATCTAGGAAAAGCACGACTAGGGTTAGCACCAAAAGGAAGCCAATCCACGTGGGCCGCTGTAAATCCGTCCAACAGCCGACGATAATGATCCAATTTTTGCTGTAAATCCCCTCCACGAATAGGACCCTCCCACCTCCTAGCAAACGGGCCTCCCTCTGTCATGGGCTCCGGTGCACGTCTGTTGATGCGCAGCGATGGAAAATAATCCTAAATCCAAGCCTGTAGCAAAGTCAAACACCCAGAAAATCCCCCAGAACCTGCTCGACTAGATCTCCCAAGCTGCCTATACATCCAAGCAAGCGCACCAGCACCCCATGCATACTTACCAACCATCGCCAAATCTCTGAAGTAAGAGTATAACCATCCACCCACCCAACCCTTCCCTGCCGTCCCTTACCATGTTCTCCCCCAAGTACTCAAAACACAACTCTCAACCCCACACCCAGACCCGCCGCCACCCTAATCTATAGATCCGCGGATTGCCTTCTCCAACGTTTCTCTTGACTGATGCCACTATCAAGGAAAAACTATTACTCATGGCAATCTCCTTTGCCTCTTTACAAGCTTGATCATGGGTATCATAAACATCACTTAGAAACAATGATGTGCAATCAACATTGTCACCCTCATTAACTCCGGATCCACCCTACAAGAAATACAAGGTGGCTTAATTGCAAGTTTGGTCACTCGAATTGCTACAAAATTTCACGTTTGCCACTCAAATTAATTTATTCCATTTATAGTCACTTAAATTAGGTTAACAGTCCAAGTTTGGTCACTGGCCGTTAGTCTCCGTTAACTTTTGCTAATGTGGCGGTCAACTCTTATAATTGACCGTTAAATGCATGACGTGGCAATTAAAAAATTTTAAAATATGAAATGAATGTGACTGATGAACATCAGGGAACTGGGGAAGCATTTGAACCTCAAGTCAACAAGAGAAAACACCTTACCTTACCAACTTTGGCAACTTCCAAAGAGGCCCTCTCCAGCACGAAAATGATCCCAGGTTTTTTGGTCTGTTGGTCGATTTGAACGATTGGGATGCCAGCCATTTCGTTAGCTGCAGTCTCAGTTTCCTTTTCCTCCATTTCCTTCTCGTCCTTCTCCTCTACCGCAGCTTTCTTCGACGCTGCCTGAACCGTGGGCTCTGCAGCATCTTCCTCCCCTTCTTCTTCAACTGTGTCATATTTCTCTTTCCTCTTCCTCTTCTGCCCCGTTCTTCTTCATCTCTGTTTGAGCGATTGCTTGTGCGATGCGGTGACTTATGAGAGCGCGTCTTGCTGGAAGAAGAGGGCGCCGTTGTCGAATGGGTACATGGATCAAGAGAATACAGGGAAGACTCTGCTCAAAACTCGGAGGCAGAATTCGACTTCGACGGCGGGGGAGAGAAAGAATGATCAATTGAGGAAGAATGAAATTCAGGGGGAGATCCAAGAAAGCGGTGAAATAGAAGAGTAAAATTGTAAATGAAATCACCTTATTCGACGGAGCTGGACGAGATCGGGAGGTAACCGCCGAACCCGTGGTCCGAGTCCAGTCCTTATCCGATAGCGAAATCCGAAAGATACCCGACTGCTACGTCAAGCCACCCTCCCACCGCCCATCCCTCAACCACAACGCCGCCGCCGCGGTGGTCAACAACATCCCGGTGATCGACCTGGCGGAGGACTTCTCCCACGACCCATCCGTGAGGTCGGAGACGCTGCGGCGGCTGTCGTCGGCGTGCAAGGACTGGGGGTTCTTCCAGGTGGTCAACCACGATGTCGACGTGGATCTGATGAGGAACATCCGAGAGATTTGGCGGGAGTTCTTCGACCTCCCCCTCGACTCCAAGCAGCAGTACGCAAACGACCCCATTTCCGACGAAGGGTACGGCAGCCGCCTCGGGGTCGAGAAAGGCGCCACCCTCGACTGGAGCGACTACTTCTTCCTACGACGTGGAAACGTCGGAAGGTAACCGCCGTAGTTGAGGTGGAAATTTTAAATTTTTTAAATTTTTAATTGCCACGTCATGCATTTAACGGTCAACTATAAGAGTTGACCGCCACATCAGCAAAAGTTAACGGAGACTAACGGCCAGTGACCAAACTTGGACTGTTAACCTAATTTAAGTGACTATAAATGGAATAAATTAATTTGAGTGGCAAACGTGAAATTTTATAGCAATTCGAGTGACCAAACTTGCAATTAAGCCAATACAAGGTAAAAACATTTAGTTGTGCAACAATTCTGTTACGATAATTAAATTATAAAAATAACTACTTACTGAATCATCCATAATAGTTTCCTTGTTAGTAAATGATGGTGGCACAAGATTTTTATCCTCCTTCCTAATAAACACAATTAACAACGAAACTTAATGAACATAAATGTTATAATTTATGTGAATTTTCATTAAAAAAGATCCATGACATCACAAAATTAACTCGAGCATGTTCAAAACTAGACCAGACCGAAGGATAGGCATGTTAAAAACAAGAAAGAACCGTGGGTCGAGCATGTTGAAAACATGCCTAGACAGGAGGACGAGCATGTTGCGAGCATTCCTGGAGGATGGAACGGGCAGGTTGACAACGCGTTCGTTCCATGGCTGACGCAGGGTTTCAACATGCTTGACCACCGGTCGAGGCAGATTTTCAACATGCTCGACTTGTTTTCCAGAAGAAAAAAAATTGCAAACGAAATCTTACCTTTAGTCCGAGTCCCTGCATGTTATGACGATCGAGACCCACTACTTCTCTACCTCCGGCAAACTCGCCGGAATCCGGCGAAAATTTATCAATGTAGACGATTGTAGTTGGATTATGTGTTGTGTGGTTTGGTTTTAATTTTTGGTTTGATATTTCTGTTTTGTGTTGTAGGAAAGAGTTAAATGGGTTGGGTTAAATGGTTGGAGCATTAATTCTAAGTGGTTGAACCATAAAATTAAATGAAGGGTTGTTTTGTAAAGTTGTATGGTTTAAGACGACAAAATTTAAAAACTTAGGACGACAAATAAAAATTCAGATTGTCCATACCTAAATTCAGTGCCATTGGCGCTGGCGCGCCACCAACTACTCTTCCAGTCTTCCTCTATGACGACAGCGGCTGTTGGTGTTAATGTTATGACACCTACCGTCTGTCACCCGCATCAGTCCCACGTGTCGCCAGCACTAGCTGTCATATTATTTCCTACCTCCGAACCCTTTGCCGAAGGCTCGGCAGAGAGCTCCCACCTCCTGGTTTCCCGGTTTGACGGTGACGCAACAAAGTGATGAACAGGTGTCACTTTTACGGCGAAAGGGTCCATCTCTCTCTCTCTCTCTCTCTCTCTCTCTCTCTCAATTTTTCTAATAATGAATGAATGCCAACAGAGAGTCGACAGAGGCAGGAGGCAGTCCAGCTCAAAATTTCCCCATTTCCGCAACCGTTACTTGGTCCCCGCATCAACTGCGGGTGAACACTAGATGCTCATTTAGATTTGCTCGCCAAACTCGCTTCACCGACGCGAATCCTGACTACCCCTTTCGCCCGATCCGGAGAGAGCGACGCCGGCGGTCTGCTTTCTTGTAGTTTCTGGTGAGTCTTTTCCTGAATCTTGGAGCCGAATTTCCGAATTTCCGTTCGTTTTAGCGTCCCGTTTCCTTGCTAATTTGCTTTGACGTTGAGGTATGTTATTCGAGCTGCGCTATTATTGATTTGAGCGTCGGAAGGAATTCGAGCTCTCCGACTCTGGCATTGTGCAATTACTTTCTCAGTCGACGGAACGAGTGGTCTGAGAGGGGGGAAAAGAGAGTTCTTGATTATATCGACTTACTTACGTAGTGACCAATTTCACTCTCCTTTTGCCTTTTCCAATAGTTAGAGTTAGTGCCAATGGATAGTGACTGTTGAAATTCGCCTCCAGTATAGTCTTGACTAATAGTTTTTGTGGACTTTAGCATGTGTTGATTCTGCCATGAGCTATGGTTTTGAACCGTTGCCATAACAAGGATAATGAATACCATCATCATCCATGTCTGTTTCCCTCTCTTCTAGCTCACAAATCTTAGGGCTTGTCATGCGTGATAATTGCTGTTTTCCATTTAACCTTGAGTGTGTATCTTTGAGGCAATTTCAAAAGTTTGCTGGAGTGAACCCATAAATGAGTTTACCCTAATTTCACGAGCTAGTTGTACTTTATTCTGATTCTTATAATTTTGGTCTGTTTATGCTGCTTTTAGCGATGCAGTTGACATACAGATGTCTGCCGAACGTGTGGTGGACTTCCTTTAGTTGAGGGAGACGGGGAGTATGATCATGGAGCACTCTCAGGTGACTACAATGGGAGACCAGCGCAAAAATTCAAGTTCAAGTAGGAACTCCCTGGTAGCTGCTGTCAATAACGGGAAATATATTAGCAAGAGAAATCCAAAAGCAGGATCACAGAATGCTCCTTGGGATATCTTTTCTCTAAGCCATAGTCGAAGTGGTGGTAGAGGTGCAGTTGGCCATGTTGGCTTGTTTTTGCTCAAAGTTGCGGCATTGGAGGCTGTACGAAGGGTCTCAAGGTCCAAGTGTCCTCCTGTATGGCGTGGTGTTCAGGCATTGCAGTTTCTTTGCTACCCACCATTCAAGTGGATTCAGAGATGGGCACCGTTCAAGGGTTTGGTTCAAGGCGTGCAGGTTTGTTTTGCTTCCTGATGAACAAGTTATACTGAAGGCATATGCATTCATGCAGAGTGATGCTCTTCTGCTGTCTCCTTGAACATTATAGAAACCAATGTCAAATGACAAATTTTATGGATATTTGCTTTAGACTATTACTGTCTTATATTTCTCTTCATGTGGCAATGCCACATATTGCACAGCATGCGTGTTAATAATCGGTATCAAATTCCTTTGTTCATCTTTTGGTGTGCGTATTCTCAGTGATGCCTTCTGATTGATCTTCACTCTGCGTACAGATGATATCAAGACCGCTGCTGGTCCTTTCAGTTGCAACAGCATTGTCTGAAGAATTAAGTAGCTGTAATGAACCTGAGGATAATAATGATGATTCTCATGCATATGTGGAAGCATCTCCAGAGCCACCTTCTAGTCATTCAGTGCCTGATGCAAGGTACATGGCTGAGAGCTATCAACATTTTGCATTTAGTACAGTTTGGGATTCTATAATGTAGTTGGCAAAGTAAAAAAAAAAGAACTCTGGAATTCCTAATAAATGGTGAAAAATGGTCATCTGAGGTTGATCGATCTGATAGCAAAGGAGTTGGATGATAAGACACTAGAATTCCCTGGTGGGGCCGGTTGGAATAATACGTAGAATTGGTGTTCTTATGCATAGACTTTGCCAAATATAATTGGCAGTGTACCTTATTATTGATTTGCCTTTTTTAGTGCTTAATTAGCTTCTTTCATTGTGATTTGCGGAGCAGTGATAGCAATGCTCTCATTGTAGCACCAGAAAATTGGATGTTGGAACTACACAGAGAGCTAGAAATTCAAGGGATCACATTACCAGAAAGGTAATTTCCTGTTCATATATTTCCAGCATAGAAGATCTGGAAAATGGTTTCTGGTCACTATGTTTGCAATATCTACAGTCTTGTTCAAGCATTAGATAAATTCCACACCCTTAATATGTAATCCCCTATACACCGGAATGCAGATTTGTGCTGCATGTGCAAAACTTGATTTGGTACTTCTTTCAGCTAATTTCCTTCTGCATGAAAGCATCCTAGTAGACCTGCTTGAGTCTTAGTTCCCACTTTTGCTTGTCGACCTCTTGGCTTCTGTTGTTGCTGCAGTCCATGACTTGTATGTTTATGCAGAATAAATGAAGATGAGATACGCAGATTTTATACTGCAGCAGATGGAAACTTCCAGAGCTTTTTGTTATCAATTAAGAAAACAATACGCTGGAGAGAAACTTACAGAATCCTTTCGGAACATGAGCTTCAAACGTGGTCAAATGTGGTGTTCTGGCATGGATATGACCTGGAGAATCAACCTTGCCTTATTGTACGGCTTGGACTAGCTTGCACAAACTTGCAAAGCCAAGATAGGCCTCGATTTGTTCAAGCAGTCAGTAAGTTACTTTCCCCTTATCAACTGCACCACCTGTGCATATGGATAGACTTTGTACCAGATGAGCTGTGCTGGCCTTGCTTTGTATATGATGTCTCATAAAATGTTCCGATAAACTAGTTATACACATGGGAAACATAGGAATCACATCTATTGGGTTGGTTTAGCAGAAAAATGTTCCAACAAAATTTTCAGTGATGCTAGGCTTGCGAGTTTAACCCCTAAAGTTTATAACTGCCATCAAAACACAATATTTGGTTAAGCAAGCTCAACCAGGGGATGTCCTTATAATATTAGCAGATGAAAACTTAATTGACTCAGATATGTAATAGTAATGAACTCCTGTTCCACGTGTAGTTACCAGCATTATCCTGAAATTTGTGTAATATGATGGCATAACAAGACTGACGAATCTGTGATGATTCAGTATCTCAGGTAGAACATGGAATCCTTCATTTGGTCAACAAAGATAGTCCTCAAGTTATGGTTATTGTGGATTGTGCTGGGATAACTCCTCTGCGAATTCCCATGCAAATGGTGAGATCTTGTTCTTCATATCTGCAACATAACTTCCCCAACCGCCTTGGACGCTTGCTCATCATAAGACTCCCTCCAGTTGCTCGTGTTATTGCCCAAACCTTTCTTCAGGTAAATAAGGTTCGACCTTTTGTTTTGCCACATGACTTGTGCCTCATCTGCCGTGTTGTTGAGGTAGAAAGCTGGGTTGGTTCACGGCTGGGTTAAACATGAGTTTGTTGGTTTATGGGTGGTTTTAAACTGGTTAGTGGGTTGTTAGGTTGCTGGGAATCAAATGACATTAAGAAAACTTGATGCTGTTTGAAGGGTATTTCGATCAATTGCCTGTCAAAGGGCTGTTGGATAAAGTTTAGTTCGGATAAATGATTGGTTAATATGGAAATTATAGCTAATCATGTTGGATTTTCCGTCTTGACTGAATACGTGGCCCGTGGGATAAATGGTTTGGTTAAATCTTAGACCAGGTTGTGTTATTCTGAAATTTTTAGAGCGTCAGACAACATTTAGCTAGTATCAGTAACTGTAATGGGGCCTGGCTCTGGCTATTGGAATTTGACCATATATTTTCTGTTCTCTTTGTAATATTTACGGGGTTATGCATTGATAATTCTGTTTCAGGTACTAAAACCGGTTACTAAGAAGAAGCTGAGAGTTGAAGGGAAGATGTATCAGAGGGTCCTCTCCGAGTATCTCCAGACCGTCCCAGCTTATCTTGGTGGCAGCTGTACTTGCCAGAAATGCCTGGACACGACTGGCAATCAGGCCGTGCATCGGCTAGCAAATGAGATGAACAAGAGAGTTCTCGATGGATACATGACCACTGGTGAAGATCAGGGTTCATTGCTTCTCACGTCTCAGGTTGATGGTACGCCGAACGGTGAGTGGGACCACCTGCTGAGGACTGCTGTGATTGGCATTCTCATGGCGTGGATCTTCGTGGCTTTGGCTGTTGGGTTATATGATCCTGAAAGTCGTCCATTTTAGCCCGTCCTCAATCTGAGTACTGAGGATGGAGTGGTTTCTTCCACTCGATTTTCCAAGTTGTTTGCGCTAGCTGTTTTATGTGGAATAATCAATAATGGAGATCGATTTGGTTGTGATGTGTGTATATCTAGGTGTAGGTGAAAGGTGTGCCATTCTTTCTTCTTTTAGGATGAAGGAACCAATAATAGACGGGAAAGCGCTTTGTAATGACTAAAATTGTAGAGCTTGATAAGACTTGATGCAGTGGCAAAGGCTATTTGATGTCCATCTAGCAGGAACTATTTGTGACGACTAAAATGCCACAACTAATGAGGGTTCAAGGTCACTTATAGCTTGTGTATCTCATTGACATAATGTTGGTCAATTGTGCGTTTGACTATACATAACAAGTTGCCATATCAGCAAAGTAAAATATTTGTTGATTTTAGGTTAAATTGTGATTCAGTTTTGTCAATATTCCCTAACATCAATGCATAATGCAAGGAAAAGTAGGCGTTGGGGATAATTTAATTTACTTTGGATTGAGTCGAGATTTGAATCAAGTTGGATAGATAGATATAAAATAAAGGCTAAAAATAATTTGATTTTAATCAGGACCTTTTGATTTTAATCAGTATAATTAGTAATTACATCCAAGATCATATCCTACAGAAATTTGACGAGCACAATTACTAGTCGTCAAACTATTATTTAGCCAAAATTTATATAAAGTGAGTCTATGATTTAAGTAAACTAAACAACAAATTTAGCAGGGAAATAAACCAAAAGGCTGATTCAGAGGAGGTATTATCCAGATTCTATTACCACTACTAGATTAGGGTACGACTCGTTGGCTGAATAAAAGAGAAAATTTAATAATTTTATTTGTTGTACACCATTAATATTGAGAAAATTATGTATTATTAATGTGATATATAATTTTATCAATATACAATTTTCTAGTAATTTTGATTTTCTATGAAACGTGATGAATACTATCATGATGACATTCAAGTTAGTTCCATTCAAAAAGTTTAGGGAAAATTCACTAAAAATCCAAGAATCTACCATGTCTTATTCAAAATAATACAAAAGGCTATTATTTTTTATATGCTTAAGTGATATATATGATTCTGGGTTAATTTGATACATTCTTCTTTTATATGTGGGCATCCAAGTAATAGTAAAAGATCCAACATTTTTGTCTCATTCGATCCGGTGCATTTTCATACTAAATGTACAGTGAATCATATTTTTCATGTTGTACTTAGAATAGTGGGCAAGAAAATTAAATTAAGAAGTACGTAGTACCAAACCTTACTCATCAACACTTGAGTAGCCTCTTTCAGTTAAATTTTCAAGTCTTGTGGGATAATTTTTTCAAACGTTTTTAATTGTGACATTTATATTGTCGTCATTAATACTTAGGGTGCGTCTACGATGACATGCATGTCACGGTGACTTGCATTTTTCGGTCGACCTCGGTTAGGATTAGGCGACCTCATTTAGGATTAGGTCGACCTAATCTATTGCTTCAGTGTAAAAACAGTTTCATGGTGCCTAATTTGGAGATTCATATCATACAATTGTTTAAATGGAAATTGAAGATTAATGGCTTGTTTTGAAGCTGGAGTGTCCCTCTACATATTGAAGTGATTAAGAGCTCGATAGGAAGTCCAGAAGACCATTTTTGAACCTGATCAAAAGGCTATGCCAAAACCGGAAAACTGCCTGAAAATGGCCAAGTCTGGAAACGTGTTTGTGAAGCTAACTTTGGAGCTCAATTCGAGAAGCATGAATGCGATTAGAGTGCAAGGGCCTCTACCACGTTAAATTATGTATGTTTTTATACAAATTCAAGGCATTGGATGAAAGATTGGATATCTGTAAGGCTTCAAACAAAAGGGTCGAAGTTGCTACGAAGGCTGTTTTTCTGGCATACTTCGAGCACAAGCAAGTTGCCAGAAAAACAGCTTTTGTAGAAACTTCGAGCCTTTTGTTTGAAGCCTTAATGATATTCAATCTTTCATCCAATGCCTTGCCTTTGTAGAAAAACATGCCTAATTTAACGTGGTCGAAGCCCCTGGACTCGACTCGCATCCATGCTTCTCAAATTGAGCTCTAAAGTAGGCTTCACAAACACGTTCCCAGACTTAGCCATTTTCAAGCAGTTTCCCAGTTTTGGCATATCCTTTTGATCAGGTTCAAAAATGGTCTTCTAGACTTCCTATCGAGCTCCCAAGTACTTTAATGTGTAGAGGGACACTTCAGCTTTAAAACAAGCCATTAATTTCCATCTAGCCAATTGTAAGATATGAATATCCAAAGTAGGCACCATGAAACTGTTTGTACACTGAAACAACATATTAGGTCGACCTGATCCTACATGAGGTCGACCGAAAAGTGCATGTTATCGTGACATGCATGTCATCCTAATACTTATCCTACGAAAATAACTTATCCCAAACACAACCCCCTTTTGCTACTCAATTTATATAACTTGATTTTAATAATACGATATTCATATCGATGACTTGAAATTAAAACTTATAAGTTTAATTTCGGTTGACCTAATCGTAACACCGGTCAACCAAATTGACTAATTTGGGCACCCTGAGGACTCATCGCGGTTGACCTCAAAGATCATATGGTCGACCGTTTGTAGTTTAAGTTGTTATTTTTGGTCGACCACAATAAAACCTCGGTTGCCCTTTTCGTTGGCGTCAGGCAACATGGTCGACCGTAATTCAGAACGTGAGTGGATCGAATTAAGTGGTAGATAAGTTAGGCTTACCTTTCTGGTGTTGGAATCCTTATCCAATACGGATACGGTGTGCATGCGGTCGACCTATTAGGTGCAAAAGGGTCGGCCTATGAGGTATTTGGGTCGACCTTTCATTATGTTCGACCCCCAAAGAGGTCGACCGCGCCATTGAACCTCACATAACTGAAACAACACATTCGGTCGACCTCCTTTAGGATTAGGTCGACCGAAGAGTCCATGTTACAGTGACATGCATGTCACAGTAGCAAAGTCATAACTTAAAACATCATTGAAAAAAAAAAGTTCACTACGGTGTATTTCTTGATTGGTTGGTAACAATAATACCATAAAAAACAAAAATATTATTGAATGATAACAAAAAAAAAACCCACAAAGTGAGTATAAGTGGCTCAAAAGATGAAATTAAAATACCAAACAAAAGCCCATGCTCAGGTAATAACCGCACTTCTAATCTCCTGGGGAAAGTAATTGGGAAGTAGAAGGACATAAATAGCCTTCTGTGGAGTGGGCAGGAGCCTTCTAAGCTAACACCCTTCTCTTCTAGAATGTCCTTATATTAGTGTGTAGAACTGTAGATAGATAGATAGATAGATGTAGAAGATGTGCAAATTGATTTTAACACAGTACCCGATTTCTTCTAAGGCCATAAGAACTCACATGATGTCAATAAATAAATGTGATGTCAGTTACTCGCTAAAACAGAACCAAAGTGTAACTAATTAAACGGACTGCAATATAGTGATGCAAATAATAAATATCGAATTCTCGGATTTCTAGATGTACTATTACTCAGCTCCAGTTCATAATCTCAATGCAGTCAAAAGGGCGATTCTACCTAGAAGCGAAAAAGGGGTAAAATCGTAAAGCGTAGAATTAAAGCGTAAAAGCGTAAGTTTTTTACGCATACTGTAAAAGAACTAAAAATATGTTAAGTACGACATATACTATGAAAAATATGAGTGCACAAAATTTAGATAAGTTAATAAATACTTGCAATTCATGTTTAAAGTAGAGCAACTTATAGCCTATTAATAATAAGTTCATAAACATAAATTTTTAAAGAAGCCACCTTCTCCTCCGTGCTAATGATTTTGAGAAGAGCCTAGACGGTGAATTAGATTACTTTATTGAAGTTCAGAATGCATCAAAGTATCTGGTATGTATCTTTTAATCTTAAGCGTATCATATTGTCGGTGATTTATTTTTAAAATATACTTTTTATAATTAATTTCATGAAAAGAATACGCATTCAGTGAAGTAAAAGCGTAAAAACGTAAAGCGTTTTAGTGAACTAGAAGCGTAAAAGCGTAAGTTTTTAAGTTTTAAAGCACAATTTAGTCTGATTTTATACACTAAAGTTTTTACATAGAAACGAAAGCGTTTTGGTGACCTAGAAGCGTAAAACCGTAAGTTTTTAAGTGCGATTTTGACTACATTGCATAATCTAGCAAATTATATTAAGGTTTGATTAACTAAACTACTATACAAGCTAAACTAGGTAAAACTACTAATTACAGGATGTGAACTCACTTGGGTATGATTCCCGCTAGTTTGCAGTTCGGCCAAGTTGTGATTCACCCAATCCAATTCAGTTGGCAGATATACTGCGGAAAGTTCTTGACAAGTCTGAAATCTCGACTAAAGTAATCCAGACCCTCTCTGTTCGAATACCCGGTGGGCGACTAACCTCCACCGACATAAACTAACCAAGGAAATAACACACCAAACTTCCTCTACTGGCTTTAATTCCAGTACAGAGCAATGAATCGATTTCTCGACTAAAGCAATCAATCCACTACTTCCAATTAAGGTTGCTCTATTAACCTATGCATAGACTATCATTCTAGGTTAAAGCAGGAATCATAGGAATTGGATCAGGACTCAAGTAATTCTGAATCAATGCCTCAACTGAATATAAAACGTCAATAAATCAAGAATTCGATTTCATAAAACTCTTCCTAGCATACAAATCTAGGGTTCCTCAAAACCTAAGTGAAGGGAAGTTACTCCATAGAGAAGAGAGAGAATGCAGAAATCTAAATCTTCAATCTCCATCTCCAAGCTTGTTTCTCGAGCTCCAATGGTGAAGAACTCCTCCAAAATAGCTCCAAGAATGATCCCAAGGTGCCCTCTCTCTAGGGTTCGTCCCTTGGATGTTTGGGACAAAAAACCCAGCTCTCTCTTCAAAATCTGCAAAAACGCATTTATAAAGATCCCAAAGGCTAAGTTACGAGCAAAGTTACGGGCAACCTGTAACTTTGAAGGAAGCCCGTAACTTTGGAATGCATTCTGCTTCCCAAGGCCAAAGTTACGGTCACAACCGTAACTTTGAAGGCCAGCGCGTAACTTTGGATATGCTGTTGTCTTTCAGTCCTTTCTCCCTCATCCGAACTCCGAATCAGTCACCGTTTGATCCTAGACGCTCATAGTCTCATCTTCTTTCTTTCCATGCATAAATTAAATGATTATTTGTCCATAAATTGAGGTATAAATCCATTCTTTCTTGGGTCATGCCCTGGTTTCTTTCCCCGTGTCGCCAATTGATCTCCGATTGACTTGAAACTAGTGCCTATACTTTATTTTACGTGCTAGGACCTGAAATGTGACAAAGGAACACAACCTAGTATAAAATAGGCCAAATTATGATAACCACCAAGCTAAATAATCAAGAAATGAAGGATAAAAACATGTGCAAATTCAGTGTTATTAAATTCTCCGACACTTAACCGTTTGCTTGTCCCCAAGAAAACTTGACACAAACCAATGCAACTCTCCAGACCTTTACAGCAACATGCAACCCCGATCGTCGGTAGAGGACTTCCTAGGTCATTTAGCTTCTTACGAGATCAACCAGTTTTCTAAGACATGCCCTATTTCTCTCCATGTGAGTACTAGACCCAAGCTAGGATCATGGCAAATAGTGGACCTAGAACTGAAAATAATGGATGAGGAGACTCACCCACATAACAACCAAGGACTCTTTGTATCGGGTGATCTTCCATTTCATTTCAATCGTTGGAACCCCTTTTCCTTACTATTGTTTTCTTTTTATTTTGATTTTTGCATTCACATTTTGTTAGGGTTCCAAACTGCAATTTTTTTATGCGCGGTCGACCCTTATTGATTGAGCAAGAGAAATTTCTATGCATATGTCACTCGCCAGAGTACTTCTTTTAACTCCTTTTCCTCAACTCATGTGGAGGGTCAATGAAATTAAGGGGGTTCGGAAGCTCTAACCTTGCCCTTAAAAACACATCCTCGAGTAAGCAAACCGTTCAATGGGTGGAATTTTACTTGTACTTGAGACAACTTAGTTTCATCTTGTAGGCCTACCCCACTAAGAATCACTAAAATCTCTTCCAAAAGTCGATTTTGTGCAATGAAGGGTGCCACACACGTTGGGCTTACCCCATGTTTAAAATTTCAAAATTTTCGACATAGAGGACCAACTGCTTTTTCATTACTCACACTAAGCACCCTTCTATGATACATGAGTCCACAACAAAGCACAAGGAGAGTCATCAATACCACATGAATCAAAGGTCCTAAATCCACTAGTTCACGCAATCAACCGGCACAACAAAGAGAAAGATAGGACCGATCTTATACTTCAACATCCTCCATAGTGCTACAACTACCTCCCTAGATTGCATAGTACTATAAAAGCTGTCAATTCAAAGCATACTGAGCAGGTTATTGCAATAGACACGTACTTGGAGCCCTCAAATTTAAAATTTGGACAGTGGACTAGGCTCCAAACACACACATACAACCAAACATTCACACACATACATAATCGAACACCCCCACACTTAAGCACGACATTGTCCTCAATGAAAGAAAGATAAGGAGGGCAGAACGAAGTGACCAGATCAAGTGTGAATGATGGTGCACGGGCCAGGCGGTGCATTCCAGTAGGAGAGAGAGTAGTAGGAACAAAAACACCACACAAAATCTCACAAAGGTTGAGTTATTGACTCTAAAATCAAAGAACAAAACCGACTAACCCAAAGAGAAATAAGGAAAGAAATGCAAACCAACTGGTTGGGTTGCCTCCCAACAAGCGCTTCTTTCACGTCGTGAGCCGAACAGTGGCAACTAAGTTTCGGTCCACCCAAAAACCTCCTTAAAGTTGAGGTTCTTGTCGATGAGGTGGAGTCACGAGCATGTGGTGTGGCAGGTGATGAAGGCTCGTGCACTTGATGTAGATGAAGTCTCCATCCTCGAGACCTTTTTTTTCTCTTCTCTCATATCATTGCCCCAAATCAGATATGACACCACCGATTGACCACCATCGCATCCACCAAGAGGGACCGATGTCGATGTGGCCTTGGTATGGCAAAGAGACACTGTAAAGTTGGGTGGAGAAATCACATGTAACTCATGGCTAGTGCAAGCCTCTTCCACCTCAACTTCGTCCTCAGCATGGACAATACTTGCATCTTCAACCCTCCTTCCTTCCTCAGAACTTGATTTCTCCCCTTGTGAAAGATCAAGAACTTCCTCTGCTTCACTTCCGTCATCCTCCACAACTTCTTTCCTCATCCTTTCTCTCTCTTCTTCTTCCAACATAGATTGGAGAGCAAGTCGCCAAGCAATTTCTTTGATGAGATCATCTCGCATCTCCTCACTCATGCCCACCTCTTCAAAGCTTGGCGTGGGATGTGGAAAGGTGTGTTCGGATACAACAGGACATTCCTGATCATGATCATCACGAGAGCTCTTCGTGAAAACTTCTGTCTGCTCCACAATGTCCTTGTAGCCTCCTTCATCCTCCTCCTCTTCTTCTAGGGTAGAATAAAAGTGATATTGAGGAAGCTGTGCACAAACTTGCTCAACATGCTCTGTTTGCTTTGCTGAGTGCTGAATAGTCTTCTCCATTCCATGGAGAAATGAAGGGTCACCGGGAACCAATGGATTGGATTAGAAGTTCCATATTGGGAAAGGTTTTCTCAGTGTCTCGAATAATCTGCTCCACGAGAAGCCTCAATTGTTTGTTCGGATCCTCTTGTGGAGTGTATCATGGCTCTACAGAATGGCCCGTGAAGGTCGACATGGCGAAATCCAACTCCGATGGCCCTTCTGGTTGTGGGAGGAATTCTTGTTGATAAGAACATTGTTCTTGAGGTTTCCAAGGGTCTGGTTGTTCTTCGTAGTAAGGGGGTTGGTACTGAAATCCGAATCCATGGTCTTCTCCTCCTTGATTACTCCAGGAAGTCACAGGGTAATACCACTCGGGTGGTGGTGGATACCCCCACTGGTTGGAGAAGCCATGAGGATCCATGATTCAGATCTCCACCAACAAAAAAAAAAACACCCAAGTGAAAAAGCTAGGGTGGAAACGAAAAACAAAAGAAAGAAAAGTTAAATTAACAAACTTCTAACTTTCCTAAAAACGAGAAGGTTCCCCGGCAACGGCGTCGAAAACTTGACTCGCTAAAACACAACTCCTAATAATGACCAAGTCTAACCAATGAAAGGGACTATAGTATAGTGGTGCAAGTAATAAATATTGAATCCTCGGGTCTTTAGATGTGCTATTACTCAGCTTCGGGTCATTATCTAGCAAATCAGATTAAGGTTTGTTTAACTAAATTACTCTACAAGCTAAACTAGGTAAAACTACTAATTACAGGTTGGGAACTCACTTAGGTATGATTTCCTCTAGTTTGCAGTTAGGCCAAGTTGTAATTCACCAAATCCAATTTAGTTGACATATATACTGCGGAAAGCTCTTGACAAGTCTGAAATCTCGACTAAAGTAATCCAGACCCTCTCACTTTGAATACTCGGCGGGCGACTAACCTCCAACGGCATAAACTAACCAAGGAAATAACACACCAAACTTCCCCTACTAGCTTTAATTAATTCTAGTACAAAGCAGTGAATCGATTTCTCCACTAAAATAATCAATCTACTACTTCCAATTAAAGTTGCTCTATTAACCTATGCAGATACTATCATTCTAGGTTGAAGCAGGAACCATAGGAATTTGATCAGGACTCATGTAATTCTGAATCAATGCCTCAACTGAATATAAAATGTCAATAAATCATGAATTTGAGTTCATACAACTCTTCCTAGCATACAAATCTAGGGTTCCTCAAAACCTAAGTGAAGGGAAGTTACTCCATAGAGAAAAGAGAGAATGCAGAAATCTTATCTAGATCTTCAATATCCATCTCCAAGCTTGTTTTCCGAGCATCAATGGTGAAGAAATCCTCCTTCAAGAATAATCCCAAGGTTCCTTCTCTCTCTAGGGTTTGTCCCTTTGGTGTCTGGGATTCAAAACTCAACTCTCTCTCTTCAAAATCTGCAAAAACGCATTTATACAGCTTCCAGAGGCCAAGTTACTGGCAGCCTCTTTGGAATGCATTCTGCTTCCCGGGGCCAAAGTGGCAAAGTTAACTTTGGATAGGTTGCTGTCTTTCGGCCTTTCTCCCTCATCCGAACTCCAAATCAGTCGCCGTTTGATCCCAGACGCTCGTAGTCTCGTCCTCTTTCTTTCTATGCCTAGATTATATGATTCTTTTTCCATAAAATGAGGTAGAAATCCATTCTTCCTTGGGTCATGCCCGAGTTTCTTCTCTCGTGTCCCCAAATGATCTCCGATTGACTTGAAACTTGCGCCTATGCTTCACTTTACGTGCTAGGAGCTGAAATGTGACAAAGGAACACAACCTAGCGTAAAATAGGTCAAAGTATGATAAACACCAAGCTAAACAATCAAGAAATGAGGGGTAAAAACATATGCAAATTCACTGTTATCAGTCAGCATATTGACGAATAAAAAAGTAGTTGTATTAATATTCGAAAAATAAAATCAAGATAAATCCATGATTAATATTGTGGAGAGTTTTGGAAGAAGGTAGTTTGAAAATTGTCAGTTATTTAGGAACTAAATTCGACCATTCAAGGTTGATCCACCCTTCAAAAATACATCATCAAACACACTAACGCACACTTAATTGATTTCTATAACTAAGGTAATGTACATGCAAACGATTTCAAACTCTGAAATGAGATTGAACCCATAATGCCATCAATATTTGGCCTAACTTAATGGTTTGAGCTAGAGCTTAATTGCTTCTTGTAGATGGTGTCCCCCTAGAGCTATAGTTCCATACCCATATGTAGATAGCTTGAACGCCATGCCATCCCCTCTATATTAGTTTTAACTAACCCTACATATTTTACCATTCTCAAAAAAAAAAAAAAAAAAAAAAAACTACACTAACCCGAAGGATTGATCGTGAGAGGCTGAGAGCTATACCTACCTATACTTGTAGTACTTTAATTTGCCACCCCTTGTTGATTGTGGTATATATATTCTCTATCGATATTGTCACGAGACAACAACTTCACATAATTCCCAAAAAAAAAAAAAAAAAAAAGCCGCACGATGAATACTAGTTCATCTCAACTTATCGTGAGACGTGGAAACCCCATAAGCGTCCCACCTCCTCATCAGCCTGAAGAGTTCAAACAAAAAGGCATGTTCTTTCTCTCCAACATAGACCACATTGTACGTTGGGTTCGCACGATTTATGCCTTCAGGTCCAAAGACAGAGGCCATGAAGACGCCGGCGAAGTGATCAAGAACGCCTTGAGACAACTCCTTGTTCACTACTACCCTTTTGCTGGCCGGTTAGTCACCGTCTCGAGAGGCAAGTTGGCCGTGAGTGGCTATGAAGAAGGCGCTGTTTTTGTAGAGGCCGAGGCAGACTGTGTCCTTGAAGAGATTGAAGACGTCGCAAAGGTCGATCCTACTAAGCTTCGTGAGTTCGTGTATGATGATGGTATCCACGGAGGTGTCAAACCGTTGGAACATTGCCCGCTTTTGATCGGACAGGCAAGATGATTCCGCTATCAAAATTTTCTTTAATTTTCAAACGTTTATGTTTCATGACAAACTTATCCGGCTACGGTGCTCACAATCTGTCTATAGGAACCATCTGATAAAGCATTGAGAGTTGTAGGATCTAGGGGTGTAAGCTTGACCCGAAGACTCACTGATCCGTCCCGACTCGGTCCGTCCCTAAGGGTCGAGACGGGTCAGTTTGTCTACAGGGCCAGATTAGGGACGGGTCATTTGTTGACCCTGTAAGGGTGGGAACGGGTAGGGACAACTTAGGGACGAGTCACTTTTCGATCCTGTGACCCTTAGTAACAACAAATATCTCATACCACATTGGACTTCTTTGTAAAGTTTTAAAAGTTTAGGTACTAAATTATAAAAATAAAAAAATTCGGATACAAAAGCATAATTTTACCATCAAAATTAAGAATTATTTGTAAAAAAAAATTTAGGTTCTAAATTGTAAGAAAAATTTTTTTGGGTACCAAAGTGTAATTTATAAAAAAGTAGTGTATTGATTAGGGCCGACCCACTGACCCGACACATTCCGACCCGTCCCAACTCTTAAGGGTCACACAGAATCAAAAAGGAGACAGAGACGGGACGGGTCAGTTATACATCTTGATCATTCAGGGACTGGTCACACAGGATCAGGTACTGGTCAGGACTGGTCAGACCAATTTTCAGCCCTACTAAACTCGGAGTGAACATTTACAAAATTGATACCTCGTCCATCCAATTGTTGAGAACCACTCGTGATCCTAGGACACCGTACCCAATGTTTATGTGATATTCTTTATCGATGGATTGTGAGCACCATAGCAAAATTTCTGACAAAACCATTCAACAATATCTTGTAGGTGACCAAGTTGAAATGCGGAGGGTTCGTGCTTGGATTGTGTATATGTCACTGCCTCGCCGACGGTGTCACCGTGACTGAGTTGGTGAACTCATGGGCCGAGTTAGCTAGAGGAATGCCCTCAATCTCTATCCTTCCATGTTTCGACAAAACCACGGTCCAACCTCGCGACCCACCAAAGGTCGACTTCCCTCATCCAGAATTCATGGAGATAGAAGTCAAAACATCCATTTCTCACGAGCAATCCTCCAGGAAAGAATCAATGGTGCACAAGATCTTCCCTCTGAACAACAAAACGATAGAGAACCTTAAAGCAACAACAATGGAGGATGTGACCACCTGCACGACTTTCGAATGCCTAACGAGCTTCGTGTGGCGAGCTCGAACAAGGGCGCTCGATTTCGCACCCGATCAAGAGACCAAGCTCATGGTAGCCGTGGACGTGAGGAAAAAATTGGATCCACCATTGCCTAGAGGGTACGTCGGGAACGGGATCGGTGTAGCTTGTGTAACTTGTACAACAAGGAAGCTGCTCAGCGATCCGTTCGCTGAGGTGGTGATGCTAGTTCACGACTCTATCACAATGGTCCAGAATGATTATGTTAGGTCCGCGATCGATTACTACGAGTTGCATAGGACCAGCCAGTCTTTGGGTCATACTATGATAGCGACGAAGTGGTCTAGGGTTTCCTTTTCCGCCACGGATTTTGGATGGGACGATGCGGTTCTAATGGCGCCGGTGGCTATACGTGACGAGATGGTGATTTTCTTGCCTAACAATGGTGGAAAGGAGGTTGGAGATACTAATAGTGATATAAGTGTGTTTGTTGGTCTGCCGGAATCCGCCATGAAGATCTTCGACGGCTTGATCGTGACTTTGATGAATTAATTAGGCAAGGTTTGGAAATTAACTTGCCATTATAAATTTAATTACTATGAAGGGTTGAATCTAATTAGTTTTTTTTTAGTGGATGAAAGTCTTTTGAATTTTCTTATCATCTATTTTGGCTAATTTTTTAATGGTCTACTAAGGCTATTTAAGTGATGGGAAATGGAAGGGATGATATATAAGGAATGCATGTATCAGATGTATAAATAATGTTGTAATTTCTATGTATCGCATAAAAGGAAAGTATGTATTAATGTTACTAGCTATAAAAGCTAAATCTAGTAGTGTATCATAGTTGTTAAACTTGGTAGTACATATTGTACTATAGTTAATCCGTAAAATAATATCCACTTTAATATATTTGGAGAATTTTTAGAAATATATTATTAGTGAAAATATACCATAGTGATATGTAAGGGTGAAAAGTGGTACGGTATCGGTATCCCAATACCAAATATTGAATCACTGATAGCGTCTAGTGTCTTAAAATCAATTTCAACCCGATCCCAATAAAAATTTGGTATCCCAATCACATAAGATTTCGATACGGATCGGTATTCTTGATTACCAAATTAATTACATTCTCAATTAATAATAAAATATATACATAAATAAAGAATGGCTCAAACACCTCTAATGTTGAAGGTTTTTATCTCTATGTTTGGTCCGACTTTTAGAAGAGTTTTTCGGTTTCAAAAGGTTAAGTAGGGCCAAACACCCAAAGCTCGGCTTTTGAAAAGCCAAAAAGCGCTTTTGTATAACATAAAAGCAGAAGCTCCGATTTGCAGCTTCTGCAAAAAGCTGTTTTGAAAATGCAACATTATCCTTACCATATTTTAATTCTATTTCAGAAAATATAATTTTCATTCATTTATATCATTTTAAAAATAAAAGAAATTATAAAATCTTATTATTTAATATAAAAGAAATCTAACAAGATCCATTTTGACTACTTTTTATTGTTTAAAATTTTTATTCATAGTTTATATTATAAGTCTTCTACATTCATTTTACACAACCTCCCATATTAAAAAACACTTCTAATAGTTTTTCAACCAAACCATCAACTGCTTTTTTTGAAAAGTACTTCTCTAAAAGATTCATCCAGCAGCTGCTTCTGCAAAAGCTACAGCAGGGCCAAACTTCCATGATTGAAAACTTTGGTGATGGGAAGTTAAGGTGAGAAAAGTCTAATAAAACCTAATCAAAGTCCCCACTGAATGAAATCCATCAAAGCCTCCATTGAATGCATTCATGGCAATTTTCATGTGCACATTTGGGGCTACGAGACTAAAAAAGTGCCTTGAGTTTGCCTAAAACTAAGACGAAGACAAACAAGATGATGATATCTCAATTTCTTGTTCTTGGTAATCTTTGATTTGATGGAATGGAAGTTGAGAAATGACTAATTAGAGTGTCAGTTTTTTTTATTCTTAAAATAACAAAGTTTGAGTGAGAGATCAGAGTGACTAGGAAAACTTGAAAGCGAAGCTTGGATTGGATGGTGATATCTCAATTTCTTATTTTTTTATAATCTTTAATTATAATTTTTTTTGCATATTTTGATCTCAATATCATAATCTTGAATACCAAATAACAACCTATAATCAATTCCAATCTCCAAAAAATAACTCGGTATTTGGTAATATCAAATAGTGGTAAATTCAGTATGATATTCGGTACATCCCAATTATCGTTACCAAACTTCCATCCCTGGTGGTATGAATATACTATAGTGTAGAATCTATCTATCTATCTATCTATCTATACATCATATTATGGCAATTCAAAAGTAATTGTTTGCCACCTAAGCACTTGGAGAGCTCACAAATTGCCAAGGTGGATAATATTTTTACAAAAAGAATAATAGTTATTGATATATTTATGGAGTTATCTCTCTCTTCATTTAATATTTCATTTCCCTTTTATCCTTTTTTTTTATTATATCAATGTACACAATAATAAATAATGTATGAAAAGTGACATATATTACATTTGTTATCTCTAATTTATTTAATATATTTTTTTCCAATACTTCTTTTATGTTTTTGTTTTTACTTTTGCATTGTATAGATGTACGCAACAATAGACTAATGTCTTTGAGTCACACATATAACTTTTTTCTCAACCAAATTTTTTTAACTCATTTTTACAATAATTTACAAATATGTTACATTTTGATGAACAATTTATACAAACACACATACATAATAACATTTTATCGCGACAAAATAACGATGGAAATTAAAGAGAGAAAACAAGAAACGTTTGAATAGAAACTTGACCAAACAATAAAATCTATTTCTTAAACAAAAACTTTATTCATTCTAATTAAGTGAAAAAATATGAATCATAGGTGCAATAATTTACAATGTATCCTAAGTTCAAATTACTAATATTTTTCATTTTTGCTCTTGATCGTGTTAATTTAGCAAACTCTACTGAAGTTTTACGTCATATGTTAAGAAATTTAATTTTCAGACTTGGAGTAATAAAATTTCAAGGATTATAAATAAAAAATTTCAAAATGACTTTGGTATGATTGTTGATGAACTTGACTTCATATCTTAAGATGAGACACGAGATACATTAAAAAATGATACATGTGAAAGTTAGATGAATCTTTGCTAAACTGTATCTATCTATCTATACATAATATTAATGCAATTCAAAAGTAATTGTTTGCCACCTAAGCACTTGGAGAGCTCACAAATTGCCATGGTGGACATTATTTTTACAAAAATAAAAATAGTTATTGATTTATTTATGGAGTTATCTTTCTCTTCATTTAATATTTCATTTCTCTTTTATCCTTTTTTTTTTGTATTATATCAATATATTACATTTGTTATCTCTAACTTTTTTAATATTTATTTTTCTTTTCCAATACTTCTTTTATGTTTTCGTTTTTACTTTTGCATTGTATAGATGTACGCAACAATAGACTAATGTCTTTGAGTCACACATATAACTTTTTTCTCAACCAAAAAAATATCTTATTAAAGCTCACTAAGTAAATTCTTAACTCATTTTTACAATAATTTACAAATATGTTACATTTTGATGAACAATTTATACAAACACACATACATAATAACATTTTATTGCGACAAAATAACGATGGAAATTAAAGAGAGAAAACAAGAAACGTTTGAATAGAAACTTGACCAAGCAATAAAATCTATTTCTTAAACAAAAACCTTATTCATTCTAATTAAGTGAAAAAATATGAATCATAGGTGCAATAATTTACAGTGTATCCTAAGTTCAAATTACTAATATTTTGCATTTTTGCTCTAGATCGTGTTAATTTAGCAAACTCTACTGAAGTTTTACGTCATATGTTAAGAAATTTAATTTTCAGACGTGGAGTAAAAAATTTTAAAATGACTTCGGTATGATTGTTAATGAACTTGACTTCATATCTTAAGATAAGACACGAGATACATTAAAAAATTATACATGTGAAAGTTAGATGAATTTTTGCTAAACTGTATGTTAAACATCATGTGTTCATCAACCACTGACCTATGAAGCAAGATTAGAGAAGTTAATCATCGTAAGAGGTATGATCTTTCTTAGCAAACACATGCATTTTTTTTTTGCAATAAAACACATGCATAAATAATTATATATTTATGAAATAAAATAATTCGATAGAAATTCAATGGAGCAAGAATAGATCACATTATTGGATAAATGAAGATGATAAGTAAGAATAACTTTTCTCTCACTTATAATATGTCCTTCCATCCCTTATTCTCTTTTACAATTGTTCATATTTCCCTTATTTTCTAAACATTTTATAAATCCCGATAAAAAACTAGCATTAATTACACTTAAAAATAATTAAACTCTTTTTAATATATATGCTTATATATTGACCATAAATGTGGCAATACAAAAAATGAATATATTAGTATAAGTAATGAAATTTTTATTTCTAAACAAATACCAAACATAAATAAATTTTAGAAAACGAAGGTTCTACAAGTTGTAAAATTATACACTAACGCACCATATTAAGATCAAAATCCGTATGTGGGTATCTTGGATTGAGATTCTAAAACAATATATAAACAACGACAATGAGTCTCAGTTAGTCCAAATTAAATTTCAGAAATTAGCAATTGATACATATTGTATAAGAGACTAAATACAAATAAGATCTTACAGTAAACTTCATGAACATTCAAAGTGTCAACTTTAAATTGGGATGAAAAAATTTATCCAATAATGAAGTATATATACAAAGAAAATCTCCGAAAGATGTCCTCATGTGAACAACATGGATTCATATAAGATAGAAAAAATTGTACATGGACGTGGTATACCTTTGTGACATGGTTTATGATTAGAGAATTCAAACAGTATAAGTGAATGTGCTAAGTATTGAGAATTTTCAATATATAGACACACCACATACGTACTCACTTATCAATACAAAATATAATAAATTTAGAAGGTCTAAAATAGTTTAAACATATAGATAAATGGAATTAATGTCAACGATAACATGAAACTCTCCAGCCAACGCGCCGGGTAAAAAGCTAGTATTGTATAAATGATAGTAGGAATATACTAACCACCATTTGCCATATTTTAGCACCATCTACCACAAGTTACCACCTTATATAGAGTAATATAGGATGGTATATTTTGTCCTTCATTATTTTTCTAGATTTTTGTAGATCACAATACATCACGATGAACTTGTTCTTTCTATACAAAATTTTTCAAAATTTGGTAAAAAATGAATGTGCTAGAGGGTGGTACTATGTGGTACCATAGTGGTAACGAGTGACAATGGGTGCTTCAAATTTTTCCTCAAAATATATCGAAAATGTACAATTTTTAGATCACAATGAGCCTCTCATCTGTGCACAAAAAAATCAAATCAAAACAAAGAAGCTACAAACCGGTTAAAAAAGGGAAAAATATTTTTTAATATCACCCTTTAAATTTGGCCTCACTAAACATCAAGGGTTCAGATTGTGAACAATTATTTACCGCCAACCAAATTGCTATTTGCCGCCAACAAAAAAAATTAATTCAAAATGGTAATATATACGTCTTCGGTAGAGGAGTTACACTACCTACAATGTATCCAACCTCTCAGAAAACATATTGAATCAGAAAAAATCGACACTCGACGGAAAACTCGCCGAAAAATCAACGAAAAAGCCAAAAGATCCCGGCGACGAGAATCTGGCCAGGCCAAAAGAAGTCGACGGTCGGAACCAGGCCGAGCCCAGTTACTCTATCACCGACACCATCCCTCCGTCGCCGGCCACAATGTCGTCTTCGTCGACCAACGAAAACATTAAGTTTTTTTGGCGATTTTTTTCACTTTCCGACGATTTTTATGGTGGCCGATAGAATTTTTTGGTCGGTGCGTCGCTGGGCCAAATGATTTTTTTCAGCGCGGCGAGGCAATTGCAGGAAAACTCCTTGGCGTTGACGCCGCCGTCTGAATTTTTTGGCCGGCCTCGACCAGGCCGTGCGGAAGGATTTTTTCGGACCGGCCTGGTCGACATCGGCCGATAAAAACATTCGGTCGACGACATCGACGCCAAGCCGAAAGAATTTTTCGGCAAGTACGTTGCCGGGGGGAAGGTTTTTCTCGGCTTGAACCTCGTCGGGCCGAAAAAATCTGTCGACCCGGCCACGAATTTTATGACCCACATTAAAAATTGCAAAAAAAAAAACTTGGTTGTTTTTTATTGCCCGGCCACCGGAATCTTTTAGCCCATTGCCTCTCCTTGAAAATCCTCGAAAAATTGTTCGAAACTCCAAAAAATCGACGCACCTACTTAGTGATGATTTGTGGATGCGTGTGCGCAGTTTACTTCGAGGTCGGCTTTTCTGATAATTTTCCGGTTAGTTTTTCGGCAAGTGTCGATTTTTTTCTGATTCAATACGTTTTTTTCGGAGTTTTGGATATGTTGTAGGTAATGAAATTCCTCTACCAAAGACGTATATATTACCAATTTTGAATTTTTTATGCAAATCTGAATTTTTTTGATTGACGACAAATAACAATATGGTTGGCAGCAAATAGCATGCCTCTTCAGATTGGTGCACTTATGCATAACCATGAGTCATGCATCTACTATCCCTATGTTTGGCCCGGCTTTTAGAAGTGCTTTTCGGGTTCAAAAGCTGAAGCAGGGCCAAACACCTGTAAAAGCTCGGCTTTTGAAAAGTCGAAAAGCGCTTTGTATAACGTAAAAGCAGAAGCTCCGATTTGGAGCTTCTGCGAAAAGCTGTTTTGAAAATACAAGATTATCCTTACCATATTTTAATTTTATTTCAGAAAATATAATTTTCCTTTATTTATATCATTTTAAAAATAAAATAAATTATAAAATCATATTATTTAATATAAAATAAATCTAACAAGATCCATTTTGTCTACTTTTTATTGTTTAGAATTTTTATTCATATTTTATATTATAAGTCCTTTATAGTCATTTTACACAACCTCTTATATTAAAAAAAAAACTTCTAATAGTTTTACAGCCAAACACTCAACTGCTTTTTCTTAAAAGTACTTATCTAAAAACTACAATCAGAAGCTGCTTCTGAAAAACTACAGCAGAGCCAACTAAGCTTATAAACCAAGGAATTTGAAACTCCCCCTCAGTGCTCCTCCCGGCCAGAATCTGTGGCCAAGATTATCCTGCCAATGAAGGGCTTCTGATATGATTATACAGTGGTTATATACATATTGATATGTTATGCACTTATTTTGCTCCCTAATATGGGGATTAGAAAATTGCTACCTAATTTCTTGAATCTCGAGTCTGCTGTTTAAATTTCATGAATTAATAATTAAGCACGATGACTTATCAAAGATCAAATTGTATATTGTGATTCGTCCAGCTAAGAAGAATTATAGTGAAGTGGAGAGAGGGCGGTCTGCTGATCGACCACCACTTACCCACTTACTTCCATTTGTTTGGTAAGTGCCCCAAGCTCGAAGCCATTTATGCGGCAATTCGTTCTGCTACCCTTTGGGATAGGGTATATCTTGAACAAAAACTTTACCGCCATTGGCTATCTTTAACTTTAACTTTTCATCCATTCAGGATATGGTAACTTTTTTAAATCACGTCTTGATAGTGTTGGTTTAGGATGATTATCCATTTCACAACATTGTCGATATGACATGAAAATGGACAATAACTGAACAATAATGCGGGTTTTTTTTTTCTTGTGTTTTATGCACAAGAATATTTTCACGCATATATTTGTTTATGAGAGTGATATAACATTCTTAAGAATCTTCTCCCAACAACTCGAATTATTAGAATTAACAGGTTCTTGACAATTTGGACATCTTGCATTCAGTGGCGGATACATGCATGTTTAAAATTTGGAAACACAATTATTCAACCTCCGATAGTAGTTTGCGTATATGCAAAAAAAATTATTTATGTGGTAGTGGGACACCATGGAAAAATGATTATCCAACCTCCTGTAGTAGTTTGCATATTGGTACAAATAATATTTAAGTAGTAGTCTATGTGAGTTAAACTTGGGACAATAACATTATTAGTAAACCTATTTTCAATTACACTCAACCAGTGGCGGAGGGAGAGGGTAACAGGGTGGGTCCCAGGACCCACCCTGGTTCGGGGGAAAATGGTTAAATTAGGTACTATAGTTAATTGATATCGAAAACTAGGTCGCGTTTAATTGAGAATAGTTGGTCGAAAAGTTTTGTATTTGAATCTTGGCGACCTCATTTCTTAAGCATACGGTATACAGATTTGTGCAAACATGAATTTTATATAAGTTAACTTTCTTATAAGGGAGCATGGTAGTAAATGGTATAATATATTATTGAATCTTCCAACAACTCGATCTATTGATACTAAATATTTTTTTAAGAATAGCATTCGAAAGCGAACGTCTAGGTAAATCATGAATTATTGATTGGTATAAGATTTATTATTAAACCTCTATCAACAACTCGAGGTATTGATACTAACGGTTCTTAACAAAGAACACCATTTGAAACACTACAGCTAACTAAATCAATGATTGTTTGGTATATATGCAGGGTGATATTCTTGATATTTTCGACTGCTAATTCATTTTAATTTATCAAAATTTTTCAACGGAAGATTATATTAAAAAACTATTTTATCATATTTATTTTTTTCGAGGTGGATCCACCTTAAACAGAATCCTGGCTACGCCACTGCACTCAACTCATTTGTTATTGTGTTTTAGATCCAAATATAATAGTAAAAATGTTATTCTTATCCCGTATTATTTTCAAAATTTAACGATTGAACCCAATTATCGGATACCCTTGTCTAATAGGATATGTCGTGAGATATTTGTTGAGCAGTCTAGACACCAAATGTAGTTTACCATTTTACTAAACACGTATAAACTTTTAATGTAACTTTTATTGGTCATATATTTTTATATTTAATATTTATTTAATTTAATTCTAATACCAATACGTGATATGCAACAAAAGGTGATCTTAGGGACACCTTTTCTAAATCTTCTAAAACCTTTTACCGTCACCGACCAAGGAATTAACACCGTTGTGTTAGGAAACAATGTTGAATTCTCATTTCTCCAAAAACCAAAAGTTCGAAACCTAAATGTTTTACGACGTTCTTCTATAAAATATATACACCATATAATTCGTTGTAAAACTAATCAAATATCTTATTTGCATGATGAGATACATTTTCAGGGAATCTTACAACAGCTTTCTCCAATTCTCATCCTTCCTGAATTCCCCCAATTCTCTTTGCGCGATTTCTCTTTCTACCCTCCCAAAGCTGCATCCAATGGAAGACGACTTCGACCTCCCCACTGCCGGCGACGACCTGATGAACGAAGACCTCGATCTCGGCGATGACGCTCCCGCTCTCAAAGTCGGCGAGGAGAAAGAGATCGGAAGTCAAGGCTTGAAAAAGAAGCTCGTAAAGGCAGGTGAAGGCTGGGACACTCCCGATAATGGCGATGAGGTCGAAGTTCACTACACGGGGACATTGCTGGACGGGACCAAGTTCGATTCTAGTCGGGATAGAGGGACGCCTTTCAAATTTACCCTTGGTCAAGGACAAGTAATTAAAGGATGGGACGTGGGGATCAAGACGATGAAGAAAGGAGAAAATGCAGTTTTCACAATTCCTGCCGATCTGGCTTATGGTGCTTCAGGCTCCCCACCGACTATTCCCCCAAATGCCACCCTTCAATTTGATGTTGAATTGCTCTCTTGGAGTAGCGTCAAGGACATCTGCAAGGACGGTGGAATATTCAAGAAGATCGTTGTTGAAGGAGAGAAATGGGAAAACCCCAAGGACCTGGACGAAGTGTTTGTGAAATATGAAGTTCAGCTCGAGAATGGTACTTTTGTTGCCAAGTCTGATGGAGTAGAGTTTACTGTCCAGGAAGGTCACTTCTGTCCTGCTCTGGCAAAGGCTGTGAAGACGATGAAAAAGGGAGAGAAAGTTGTTCTTACCGTGAAACCGCAATATGGATTTGGAGAAAGTGGGAAGTCGGCAACTGCTGATGGAGGTGCTGTTCCCCCTAATGCGACGTTGCAGATAACCCTTGAGCTGGTTTCATGTAAGACTGTATCTTCCGTAACTGATGACAAGAAGGTCATCAAGAAAATAGTGAAGGAAGGAGAGGGATATGAGAAGCCTAATGATAGTTAGTCTAAATCTTCTTGCTTATTGTTAGTTGAGAGATGGGGAATCCATGGTTAGATCTTAGCCGAGTCCTTTGTGAGAGAGTTGTAAGACCGTCTTTGGCTGTTAACCTATCTCACCTGTAAGTTAGATCCAACCTTTGTTTACCTTCTTTTATCTAGTCATGAGTTCGATTTTTAGACCTTCCTCTTCTTCCTCTACTTCTGACATCACCGGGAACCGTGTGATCAACCAAGAAGAAATTAATTTTGAAACTGTTAGTAAAGAAATTGATAATTGGCAAATTCCTAGGATTGCCCAAAAGGAAATTTATGAGCAAAGCAAATTTAACTTCCTCAATAAAATGGATTATACCATCAAAACCGAAGAAAGAGATATTCATCTTTTCAATGATTATGAAACTATCAAACTTTTGTCTCAAAATTCTATTCAACAACACAAAAAGAAGTACAACTATATCCATATTGGGTTAGTTCAAGTAGGGATTAAGCCTCTATCCAAAGAAGGCCTTAATACTGCTATTTTAATGGTTCTACGAGATTGTCGGTTTCTTGAGTTTAACGACTCTTTATTTGGAACTGTTGAATCAAGTCTTTGTAATGGCCCAATTTACTTCAATTGTTTTCCAAACTTTACTGTCTCTCTTCATGACAAAAATATATTAGATGTTTTAACCCTACAAATAAAAACTTTCAACTATAAAATCCAACAAGGATCTTTACCTATCTCTTTGGTTTACCGCTTACACTATAAAGCTATGAAATCTGCTTTCTCTTCTAAAGCTCTTCAATATGGTACAAAAGGAGAAACTATACTTTGGCAAACTGATTTAACTCGTACTAACACTGTTACTCCCAAAACTACTAAATGGGGAGAAGTTACTCTTCCTACAGAATGGACCCTTGAAGGAGCTACCATTCCCAGAAGCATCGACCATCGTCAGGTTAATCAAATTACTCAACATCTTGATGGTACTGTTAACATCTCTTTTGCTAGGAATTCCATCTCTAGCATTTCTGATATAGACCCTGAATTGACAGACGATGCTCGACAGCGCATCAATACTTTTCTTAGAAGCCAATCTTGTAGAAATCTTTCTCCCATACCAACACCCACTCGACATACCTCCTCTATACTCCACCACCTCCCACAACTCTTTTTCCCAATATAAATACCTCGAGAACACCAAATATGTCTCCTACTGCCTCACAAGCTGCATTTCCTGAAGAAGAAATCCCTTCTGCTCTTGATGTCATTACACAAGAGTTCAAAATCAACAAAGAATTTCTTCGCCATGATTTCTATTCCCAACGAAACCGTTTTAAACGCGAGCAATTTTTTACTGATTACTCTAAAGAAGAACGTGTACTTATACAAAACTCTTTCTATGATTATCTCAATAATATACGAGAACACCATTCTTTCTTTAATTGGTTCGAACAAGTCTTTTCTCAATCTTCGATAAATGTTCAAACCAAGCCTATGACTTGGTCAACTACTAATAACTCTAAGATCCAATCTATTCACCCCCCTAATGCTCCTGTTAATTTTTCTTATTATGGAACAGCAGTTCAAGCTTCTCCTTTTAAATTAAGACGAGAAAATAGTGACCATGTCAAAGGAGAAGATATTCGACGTCTGATTGAACAAAACAATTATACAAACCGATTTCTTCAGACCTTAGGAGATCAACTTACTAATATTGAAATCAGTTTACCTCTGTCTTTTGCGTCTACTTCTAATACTCCTATTCCTCCTTCCAACAAACTTAATTCCCCCATTTTCAAACCTTTTGAAGTTTCTAAAGAATCTAGTCTTGAATTTAAGCTTGAAATAGAAAAACGTCTTAAACAACTTTCTACACAACTATCCGTTTCTAAGACTCCTTATATTTCTGACTCAAAATCCACGAGCAACGAGGATCAAATCGTCGATGACTCAGCCGAAGTAATTCAAGACATAGAAGATCATACTGAAACAGAAATCAATCGTCTCCGATGGAACCAACCCTCTGCATCTAAGATGTATTACCCACGTCCCACGGCACCTGATTTAGCTCTCGAAGAGAAACCCACCATTATCCAAAATAAATACAACTCCAATTCTATTTACGAATGGAATCTTGATGGATTTTCAGAATATCAAATTTTGAACCTTCTTCAACAAATGACCATGGTAGCTAATGCTTACAAAACACAAAATCAAACTTCTGATTACGCTATAGCTGAACTACTTATAGCCGGCTTTGCTGGTCAATTAAAGGGTTGGTGGGATAATATCTTAACCGCAGAAGACCAGAGAACTATTTTTACAGCTGTCAAATGTGATTCTTCTGGAACTCCTATTTTAGACTCTAATAATCAATCTTCTCAAGATGCAGTCGCATCTCTGATTTTTGCCATTTCAAAACATTTTATTGGAGATCCTTCACATCTTAAAGATAAAAATGCCGAACTACTTTCTAATCTTCGTTGTAAAAAGTTTCATGACTTCCGATGGTACAAAGACACCTTTTTAACTAGGGTTATGCAAAGAGAAGATGGAAATCAACCATTTTGGAAAGAAAAGTTTTTAGCCGGTTTACCCCGTCTCTTAGGAGATAAAATCCGAAACAAAATCCAAGACACTTTTAATGGTCAAATTCCTTATGAGCAACTTACTTACGGAGAACTTATTAGCTTTATACAAAAGGAAGGATTACAAATTTGCCATGATTTAAAACTTCAAAAACAGATCAAACGCGAACAAAAACTAACTCGAAAAGAACTAGGATCTTTTTGTGCTCAGTTTGATGAATCTTACTCAAAAATTTCTTCCAAATCTAACTGTGAGGATTGTAGCAACAAACCTCATAAAAAACATCGTGATCGTCCCTACCGATCTTTTGAAACCACGAATCAAAAATCTCATTTCTCTAGGAATCCCCGCCCAGATAAGGGACCACGATCTAACAATGAAAATAAAAACATTACTTGTTTCCGTTGTGGAAAAATAGATCATATTTCCAAATATTGTCGTATAAAAAAGAAGCTCAATGAGCTTAATCTTGATGAAGAGATTCATGACAAAATCAATAATCTTTTTCTCCAACACTACTCTTCTCATGAGGATTCTTCTTCTTCTTCTTCTGATGATGATGAGAATCTTCAGGCTTTACAATTTGATGACATCGATGAAAGTTCTGAATCTTCTATCAATGTTTTAACCAAAGATCAAGAGCTTATTTTAGATCTAATCAATAATATTGATAATCCTCATCTCAAAGAAAAATATTTCAAAAAGCTTCATGAGCACATGGAGAAACCTCCTGTGACTATTCCACCTACCAATCCCTTTCATCAAGGTTCGACGTATAGTGTCAAAGATATCCTTTCTCGACATAGTAATAATGATTCCCACAATCCTTCTCTTCCTGACTTCCAAAAGGAATTGGATATTGTTAAGAAAGAAATTCAACAATTACGACAGTTACAAAATAGTGATCATGAAATATTACAAACTTTAATAGCTCTCAAACCTTTAGAAGAGCCATCAACATCTAGCCCCGAAAACTTTTTCGATGAAACTCCTCACGCAACCAATAGTTTAGAAACAGAGGAAATGCTAACTGATGACGATTTTCTATGTTTTTTATCTACCATTACTACCCAAAAATGGTATGTTATCATTAATATTCAGGTTTCTTCTGATTTTACTTTAAGCACAGTGGCCCTTCTTGATACAGGAGCAGACATGAACTGCATCCAAGAAGGATTAATTCCAACTAAGTACTATGAAAAGACCCTCGAGCGTCTATCTACCGCTAACTCTCAACCCCTTCAAATACAATATAAACTTTCTAATGCTTTAATTTGTCATCAAAATGTTGAATTCAAAACTCCTTTTGTTCTAGTACGTGATATGCAACAAAAGGTGATCTTAGGGACACCTTTTCTAAATCTTCTAAAACCTTTTACCGTCACCGACCAAGGAATTAACACCGTTGTGTTAGGAAACAATGTTGAATTCTCATTTCTCCAAAAACCAAAAGTTCGAAACCTAAATGTTTTACGACGTTCTTCTATAAAATATATACACCATATAATTCGTTGTAAAACTAATCAAATATCTTATTTGCATGATGAGATACATTTTCAGCGAATCTTACAACAGCTTTCTCAACCTCTTTTGCAAAAACGAATAAACTCTTTAAAAGAGCACATTGAAAGCTCTATTTGTGCTGATACACCCAATGCTTTTTGGCATCAAAAACAACATCAGGTAGATCTTCCTTACGAAAAAGATTTCACAGAAAATCTCATTCCCACCAAGGCTAGGCCTATCCAAATGAATTCAGACCTTGAAAAACATTGTCGACAAGAAATTAAAGAATTGCTCAAAAAGGGCCTTATCAGATCTAGCAAATCCCCTTGGAGTTGTTCTGCTTTCTATGTCATTAATAATGCAGAAAAGGAACGTGGTGTTCCTCGTCTTGTTATAAACTACAAACCGTTGAATAAGGCTCTGAAGTGGATTAGGTATCCTATCCCCAACCAAAAGGATCTACTCCAGAAACTTTCACAGTCCCTAATATTTTCTAAATTTGACATGAAATCTGGATTTTGGCAAATCCAAATCAAAGAAACAGACCGCTATAAAACTGCTTTTACCGTTCCCTTTGGCCAATATGAATGGAACGTCATGCCGTTTGGTTTAAAAAATGCTCCCTCAGAATTTCAAAGAATTATGAATCAAATCTACTCTCCTTATTTTGATTTCATAATAGTTTATATTGATGATGTGCTGGTTTTTTCTTCGTCCATTGACCAACATTTCAAACATCTCAATTTATTTCTTGAAGTTACTTGACGTAACGGTCTAGCTGTTTCTAAACCAAAACTTTGTCTTTTTCAAACTAAGATACGTTTTTTGGGTCACTACATTAGTCAAGTAATCCAAGGAACTTTGATGTAGTAACAAAATTTGAGGAGGGGGAATCCTGGACCAGAATATTTTTGACAGAAGGTTTGATATCCCTCTTGTATCTCAGTTGGATAGATATTTTCAGTTGGCCCAAAAAGATCCCACCAGTGCATAAACCAGTTGGGGAAAATAATGGGAGTTTTGTAATCCCAGAAAAAACTCCAGGAGTGTCGGTACATATGGTTTTGCTTGAAGAAGGCATTAATCCAAGCTTTATGGTAATCCCAGTAATTGAAGGATTGGCAGATTTGCGGGTGGTTAAGAGCAATAGTAGCAGGGACAATTGTTCCTTGACTAATGTAGTGACCCAAAAAACGTATCTTAGTTTGAAAAAGACAAAGTTTTGGTTTAGAAACAGCTAGACCGTTACGTCGAGTAACTTCAAGAAATAAATTGAGATGTTTGAAATGTTGGTCAATGGACGAAGAAAAAACCAGCACATCATCAATATAAACTATTATGAAATCAAAATAAGGAGAGTAGATTTGATTCATAATTCTTTGAAATTCTGAGGGAGCATTTTTTAAACCAAACGGCATGACGTTCCATTCATATTGGCCAAAGGGAACGGTAAAAGCAGTTTTATAGCGGTCTGTTTCTTTGATATGGATTTGCCAAAATCCAGATTTCATGTCAAATTTAGAAAATATTAGGGACTGTGAAAGTTTCTGGAGTAGATCCTTTTGGTTGGGGATAGGATACCTAATCCACTTCAGAGCCTTATTCAACGGTTTGTAGTTTATAACAAGACGAGGAACGCCACGTTCCTTTTCTGCATTATTAATGACATAGAAAGCAGAACAACTCCAAGGGGATTTGCTAGATCTGATAAGGCCCTTTTTGAGCAATTCTTTAATTTCTTGTCGACAATGTTTTTCAAGGTCTGAATTCATTTGGATAGGCCTAGCCTTGGTGGGAATGAGATTTTCTGTGAAATCTTTTTCGTAAGGAAGATCTACCTGATGTTGTTTTTGATGCCAAAAAGCATTGGGTGTATCAGCACAAATAGAGCTTTCAATGTGCTCTTTTAAAGAGTTTATTCGTTTTTGCAAAAGAGGTTGAGAAAGCTGTTGTAAGATTCGCTGAAAATGTATCTCATCATGCAAATAAGATATTTGATTAGTTTTACAACGAATTATATGGTGTATATATTTTATAGAAGAACGTCGTAAAACATTTAGGTTTCGAACTTTTGGTTTTTGGAGAAATGAGAATTCAACATTGTTTCCTAACACAACGGTGTTAATTCCTTGGTCGGTGACGGTAAAAGGTTTTAGAAGATTTAGAAAAGGTGTCCCTAAGATCACCTTTTGTTGAATATCACGTACTAGGACAAAAGGAGTTTTGAATTCAACATTTTGATGACAAATTAAAGCATTAGAAAGTTTATATTGTATTTCAAGGGGTTGAGAGTTAGCGGTAGATAGACGCTCGAGGGTCTTTTCATAGTACTTAGTTGGAATTAATCCTTCTTGGATGCAGTTCATGTCTGCTCCTGTATCAAGAAGGGCCACTGTG